GACAGTCGAATCACGTAGTTCCCGTCTAACTGGACTGTAATTGAGGCCTTCCTCCCTCGTTGAAAGGTTGTTGTCACTTGTAAACAAATTCCTGACATGTGAACTAACGTCCGACTTCTGCGCAGGGCGTTGTCTCTCATGGACCAATCAAAATGAAGCATTTTGATTCCTTTAGCTTCCCGCGATGTGACGTCACCGGTGTAGCAGAAAAAAGGTCCTTGTAGAATCTTGTGCAGTCATTGATATCTTATCAACACTCGGTCTTGTCCGTAGCCTTCCGGAGTTACACGAGTGACCACGTGTATAGAGGGTTGAATGGTAAACGAGCGAAATCTTTCGCCGTGTAATACCGATGTAGGTAGGCTGTTTTCCTGGCTGCTGTGACTGTTACTTCAGTCCTGAAGATAATGTAGTCGTCCTTTTATACAGATGATCAGCTGAAGTCCACACCTCCTCAGCGCTGCCACCTGTAGACTGCATTCATCGATCTCAATGAAGCGTCGTAAAATACCCACACAGGTCCTTGTAAAGTTGATGCTCAACTTTGTTATAAGTTCTACAAAGGGAGTCGTTGATGATTTTGTAGTTTGCATCAATCTCTGGAGCCTTTATGCAGGGTCCCATGTAACTGACTGACTGAGTTTGGTTTTACGCCGCTTTTAGCAATATTCCAGCAACATCACGGCTGTGGTCCCATGTAAAGTAGCGGGAATTCCCAAGCTTGGACGTTGGGAATATGTTGACTTTGTAACTTCATAGCCTTAGCAAGGCTGTGCTGAACCACGCCAATGTGAATACCTGAAGATCTGTACGCAAGTGAAGATCTCTATATGGACATGAGTCCCTCCTGGATTCTTCAGATACATCTCTAACCTTTGAGAAGGTGTAGGTTGTTAGCACCAAGGAGTGCAGTTAGTCCCGTTATTATCTTCTGATGTAGATATATGTATCTAAAATTTCTCAACGATGTGAATCCCGTCCTGGATTCAGTCTGAAGATCTGCGCAGGTGATGAATTCGGACAAGAGTACCCCTCTTGAACTTCAACACGTGTCCCTCTGTCTTTCGCAGGCGAAGATTTCTTCCTTCATGCTGAAGAGTTCCTTCGTATAGGCTCACAACGAAGATCAAGGTCTGAGGGTGAAGTGGGATGGTCCAAGGATGTCTATATTAATCGTCGAAACTGCAGAGCATGACTGTCAAGTGCGTGATCCTTCACACATTTCTTCATGCCAGTTACCTCCCGCAGCTTCGTCCTTTAGGCTTGCGCGAACCGTCCATTAGGTCCATCATTTGCTGCATAAAAATACCCGTGTTGAAGGTCTGCGACGACTGCAGATGTAGTGACGCATCTGAGAGTGTGGCGGCTTTTTTTGCGTTGAACTGTGGGATATTTGGAGACTGGAACTTTGTTGCCTTCCTGAAGGCTGCGTCAAGGTCCTCAGGTACGTTCGAGACCGGGTCAATTGGAGGTAGGGTCCTTCATCGTCCTTCATTAGGTACGTGAATGCTTCATTCTCTTCTTTAGAGGGTGACGCTAGGCCCAGTCCATTAGCCATCCAATATTTTATTTTCTGAGTCCGAAAATATGATTCCGCCATCGTCCTCTGTATCATGTCCAGTTGGATATGATCGTTGAGTATCCTCCCTGCATGGAGATCTGCGTGGCAATCTGTGTGGAGATGAGTACGTAGAACTATGTGTAGTTCTAAGAGGAGATCTGTATGGCGACCTGCGTGGAGGTGAGCGTCTACGTGTCCGGGGTTGCCTTCGCGAAGGCAATATATTCCTATGTGGTGAATCCCATGACGACCTGCATGGTGATAGTGACATTCTTGATGATCTATCTCACGACCTTCGCGCAGGTGAGAGATTTTGTTGAGGGTCTGAGTCCTGAGACGTCTCTCTGTATCTTCTTGGAGGTGTAAGCCTCTCTGTGATGTAGGTAGCCTGCGCGAAGGCTCTTCATTAGCTTCATCATCAGATGACGATCTATTTTGGTCGAATGAATGTCCCTTCCTTCGCGCAGGTTCGTTGAAGTCGTGCAGGGTAGGTCTGCGCTTAGTACTAGAGCTAGAACCTCTTGTAGATATCTCAGATGAACCACCGGTGCGGGGTCCTTCGTGCAGCACTGGTCCCTCTTGTCGGTTGATGACTTGAGCATGAGAGGCGGCTGTCTGACCATCATGCAAGGTCCTTTCCTGCGCGAAGCTCTTCTCCATCATGTCCATCATCTGTTAGGAGAATTGCTGCATGAAGGTCCCGGGGTTGAATTTCTGCGACGACTGTAGAGATGACGCATCTGAGAGGGTAGCGATATGGTCCAGGGATCGCTGTACCTCATGGGTCCCTGCTGCCAGTGTAGAAGGTAACTCAGACTGCGTCGATAATGTTGCTGATGTTACCGTTGTTGAGGCCTGCGTCTTCTTCTAATGCAGTATCTCTGGGATGTGGATAGGCTGTTCTTCGTACAAGCCTATTTCTTCCATCGGGACGATCTCGGCAGAGAAGGTCCTTGTAGTCTGTGAAGAGCTCCCAGTAGATCTCGTTGAAGCCTTAGGGGTGTGAGGCTTCTTCTGCGACGAAGATGGCCCTTCGTATGGGTTGAGGAGTTGTCCGACTTAGAAGATCTTTTCTTCGACGTAATGGCAGACTTCATCCCACGCCCATCTTCTGAAGACACCTCCGGCGGGTCACTGGATGGAAGTATGTCGTCTGACAACGACAGACAGCTCTTTAGGGACTCAGCCTGTTTAGCCATGACTTGTAACAGCCGCCTGGATTTATCCTTAGCACGTCTAAGTACAGAGAAATAATAATTATTAAATTCAATTTTTATTAATTGCTGACATAATTTACAGCGAGAGCTGGAAGTACATATTATTGTGCAACTAGGGCACAATAAATGCGGGTCTGCAGCAGAGAACCTAAACCTACAACGAAAACAGGTTTTCATGAAATGTAAACAAACTGAACAATCACGTGAAACCGTGAATAAACAGTCAAATTTGCTAATAAATTTCAAACCATATTGTAGGAGGATACTCCCTGAAACCTTATAAAGGTAACTTATAGGGTAATAACTAAGTTAGCAAAGGATATAGTGCCGTGTTGGAGACACAGGTGCTCTCCCAACCGTCCACTAGGGCGAAGAAGGAGAGAGTGAAGAGTGGGAAGAGTGGGAAGACGGGTGGCGCCGTTTTCCCGCCAAAACGGAGAGGGAGGCAACTCGTGGTGAGTAGTGATTTTACGTCTGCTTTTTTAAAGGGAGCTTCAAAAAGGAGATACAAGTGTTCCACTAACGTTCGCGGGAAGAGGGAGACAAGCAATAATACATGAGTCAGGATAAGGAAAAATAATATGTATGGTCGCCTATTTCCCGATATCTGTGGCTTTCCGCACGGAAACATGACACAACAACGGAAAATACCTCCGTTTTCGAAGCTTCGTATGAATAACATGCGAGGCGAATCGTTTTATGTCGGGTATCGTTTGAAAGCTCTGAACATCAACAATATCACTGTACCCTTGCCAAGAGTATTTTCACAGTTGTAAGAAGCGATTTTATTGGATAAAGATTGGTTTCTAATGACGCTTTTTTCGCCACAGTCTGCTATAAGGGCCGTGATTGGTCAAAATCAGACACGTGACCTAAGGCAGCCAATGGATACCGTCCTCGTAAATGAACACTTTTAGATTTAGACGAAAGTTTTGGGTAAAATAATGCTATTCTGAACATATTAAGCAAGAAATCACTACCTATACGTAAATTATGGAACTTATTGGACTTATTGACCTGTGACAAAAATGCTTCATGCATATATTTTCGCATTAAACATCGTGTCCGGGCGTGAAGATTGAAGCGGCGAGAGCCGTGATGTCACTTGTCAGTGACTTGACTTTCATTACATGATCGCATAAAAAGATGGAAATAGTAATTTTATATGTACGTTTGACAACTTTTATGAATGCTGTTGTTGATTTTATTCATTAGTTTATTCAATTTATTTAATGATTTCCTCGAAACATCGTTACTTTGCTCTTTGACAATGTTATTGTGGACCCGCTGCCGAAGCATGTGTCCGAGAATTATTTTTTCAATAAATTTGCGAAAAATAGTTTATAATACTAATCCTGTCGATAATATATGGCCATTTGAAATTTAATAAGTGTTTTCAGACATTGTGAAAAGTGATAGATTTGATAAACGAATCAAATGTTAGTTAGGTTCCTAAACTTATATATCATTTTGATGCGACTACTGCCTGGCCGGTTTACCGGCCTACGGTCTCTGGGGACTCGTGACGTCTTGGCCGGTTTTCCGCCCTACGGTGTTGAATGGGTTAATCACCTGGCAGTCCTCTAATGAAGTTGTTTTCTGTTTGTAGCGTAAAAACCCCTAGATATTTTACTTTGAGCGTGATACGATATGCAACATAATTTTGATTGGGTAAATACGCATTCTTATTTTGACATAACATAAACATAAATATTTAGTGTTATATCATACGCTGGCATTTATTTTTCTTGCATATTTCAACTTTTGTATAGCATACTATACGCAAATACGCAGCTCATCTTGAGCTGTGGGGATCGCCGAAGTATGAAAACATTCTGACTGTCTTTTGCTGAATTACTGGCCTGTGTTAGCAGGATAACCTATAATGTTGCAAGTTGAAACATGAAGAATACACAAGAAAAAACTGATAAATTCTCTCTCTGAAACTAAACAACTTGACACAGTCATGATAAGAAAGAGAATGACTAGATTGGGGAAGGCATGGGGCTCACCAAGAGCATGCTTCACACTTGTTGAAGGGTCAATTATGAATGAGCAAATGTTCAAGGGAGGTGTCATGAGGCCAAGCACATGAAGGATACATGGTAGAACTTTATTTAACATGAGTGCATCAAGAACAATAAGCAGAAGTGCAATATGAAAGATGAAACAAGTTAAACCATGTACTATTTTAAAGCAAACAAATATATAACGTATAATACCTTGAGCCTGAGTTCAGCTTGTGTCTCCAGACCTAGTTCCAATCTTGCATCTAATGCTGAAGAGAGACCTTGGCAACCACTCCCTGCCTTTGAGGTGTTCAGGTAGTCTGATAACTTGCTTTTTAGGTTCTTCAACTTCTGTTTCTTGTCATATGATGTCAAATTTCTGAAGATAAGAAAAAGAACTACCTAATTTACACACACACCAAACTTATCTTGCCATGGTTAACCATACAACGGTGTTAGCATGAAATTGCTAAAATAGTGCCATAACAGTGCCTTGGTAACAGGTCAACAGTAAAACAGCAACAAAGATACCAACTTACAATTTTGCAGTTGCAGTAATAAGTGCCTGAGGTGCAAATCAAAGCCATAAATGGTTTAAATGTATTTTCAGAAACTGGGCAGTTTCCAGTAACAGTTAAAGGGCAATTGCATACCATTTCTATGATTCTGGTTCCTGAAAACACATAATTATATGCTCAAAACTGTCAAGTACATTTGAGGTCAGATAAGGGTTGCTTAAGAAGATTACTTAAAGGTTTGTACGGAAGTTAATCATGTGGCACTTACTGTTAATATGCAATGCTTACTGAAATATACACATGAGCATTAATCAAGCACCAACAACCAATTTTAATATCCGTAAGAAAACACTACATGTTGTTGAATACCAGCATGATCTGAAAAACACATTCCAGTAACTATGACATGTTACTCTAATTAAAAAACAAACTGAAATTGAAATTTGGTAACAATGTACTTGCAATCTGAGAGAAATACACAAAAATGTGGATATCACCAAAGCCAGAAAGTATGATCAATATGACTAAGCCACCAATCTGATGTAACAATTCTCAAATAATGATTGTTGTGATTGCATGAATCACCGCTGGTGACCACTCTTGTGATCTTGTTCCCTGTCTCTGTGCAGACATTACCAAATAGGTACTGCCCATCTGAACCAGAACTGAAGAATGGTGAAGCTGGTGACTCCATGCCTTGAATGCATGGTACATACCCTTTACTTTCCAGCAGTCAACATGTAGTTTTTCGTATGAGAGTCACCACCCTCCATGTGGGCAACCCAACAAGTGTCTCATGCATATATTAAAAGAACTTTTCTGGAACCAGGTATTCTGAGGTTGTATCAAGGCCTCAAGAAGGAGAGATCTTCTAAAGTTCATCCATGAGTAACAGTGTTCACGAATAGCGTCTGACCCTCTGACAAATCCGTCAGATTTGCCAACGGTCTGATAGAGGTCAACAACCCGCCGGCCCCAGTGTCTGACTGTATATTTCACAATGACTTTGACTGAAGTTGTTATATGTGACATGTGACATCTGTTTGCTGTTTATAAATCTTATGTTTGTTTATAATTTCAGTGTCATTATAAGAAATGCTAAATCTGAAATGTGTGTTTAATTTTATTCTATGGGTCCTGTGAATTTTCAATGGGTCAGACAGACATCTGAAACTTACAGGACCCAATGTCCTCTTCCTTTGAAACACGATTCGTGAACACTGGAGTAATAGTTGAAGCTTTCTTCTGTCATTTGTGCACTTCCATAATCATGTCCACTGACTCTTATCTTCTCTCTTATAGATGTCTCCAGAAATATTTTGAAATCCTAACTGTCCTGAACAGGTATAATCTCAGATTTGTTAAGGTCAACCTGGAAGCAACTGTTCAGAAAAATAGTTTACTGATGAAGTCAAGACTTGACCTGTTCTGCAGTGAGAAATAGGTCCATGTAACTGTTTAGACTGTCGAGTTGTAGGTGAGAAAAAATGGTGATCAAATCCTGAACGTACATGAGAGGCTGATGGCATTTAAATCCTGCATGGATATAAGGGCTACCAAAAGTGACATCCACTATCTCGGATAATCCATAACGTGTCAGTACATTGTTGATAAACTTGTCCTTACTTGAACGTCACTCTCATATACTCCTCAATATACCTGGACTGAATTCTGATTTCCTTGGATGTATTAGAAATCCCGAATTTTCAAAGAAAGCTGGAAGATAGTGTGAGTCTTCAAGGCTGGCTTTTTCATCAGTTTTGGGAAAATGAAAATCGTCTAGACATTTGTGAATCCTTATGCTTTACAGAGTAGATAAGCTTGTGCCGATATAAGAGTGCACAGCCAGGAAGACATGGATATCCTGAATGGGATTAACTTGAACTGGAAGAGTCTCTTGTTGACAGCAAATTGTAGAGATGCTGGATGGAAAGTCTATTGAGATCAGAGTCCCTTGGGGTTATGGTCTCCTTTGGATTCCAACTCAATGAGAGCCTTCTTGTACAACAGCTTGTCTATAGCTGTCATCACCACTGTAAGTCCTACTGGGTGTGTCACCAAAGGGTGCCTCTTGAAGGCAGTAACCAACCTTGATGACTCTGAGTATCCACTGATCGATCGTAATTTATTGTCCAATTGAAAGCTGAGTAGACAGCCACCCACTGGACCAGGAGATACCGACGAAGGAAAGACTGGCATTCTCACGGCAAGACAATGCACATAGTCATGGTTCATGTGAGGTGAGGTGAAATTGGGTTTAACATCGTGCTTGAGAATGTTTCGCTCATATGACGACGTGCATGCGTGTGTATGTGTATGTGTGGCTGCTTGTACTAGCCCAGACTTAAGCTGGTTTTAAAGTGCTAGCCCACTGAGATACCATGCCGCAGTGAAGCATGAATACCCCACTCAGACACATTAATGCCAAGCGCCAGGCAGGGACCAACAAGTACCATATTTTAACGTCTTTTGGTATGACGCGGTCGTGGATTGAACCCGCGACCTTCCGCTCTCCGGGCAGACGATCTAACTACTACACCACGGAGGCGGTCTCATGGTCCATGTGTCTGAAGTTGGAGAGTCTGATCGCAGTCAGTCATATATGGCGGGGGCATAAAAATGCGAAAGGAAAAACAACAAATGGTACGCAAGCATAACACCGGACATCTACCTACTATATTGGATTAGGTCCCTTACCCTAACCCCTGGAAATAATCCTAATAAATAAATACATCGACCGCAGCGGCACAAAAATGGCTGATGTGTCCAGTGTAACGAATTCTTACCCCTTCGAAAAGTAAAATATACTAATAAACTCCATTTCTGTGTAATAATGCAAATTACTAAATGAAAAATATATATATATTAGTTCCCACTTATAATTCATTTAGTCCTGAACGTTACGTTGAAACCAAAATATAAAATTTATTTAATATAAAAGTGCTTTCATAAACTTGCTATTAAATGTACCGCTGCCGTCCATTTTAGCACACAAACTCGCTACATCGCTACTCAATGACAATGCGTACAGGGACAACAGATCACTGAGAGGAGCTTAGGCACACTCGATAACCCAGCAACAGTCAAAAGTCAAAGAGCATTGTTTTTGGTATGAAAGTATCACAAATTATATCATAAGGTATTGTGATGTAATTCGTAAAGTTTGTAATGCTGTATTATAAAGAGGGCCCCATACCTTAAAAAAATGCAAAAGGTGTTTTTCAGAGTACAAGTAACACATGATCATGTGTGCCACAGGAAACATTATGAGGTTTCCCATGTTTCCATGGATAGTGTATGGTGGACCACAAGAAAAAAGACAACACAAATCCTTTGACTTAAATTATTCAAACCTAAACCTGTGGATTAAAACACAAGATTCAGGAATAGAAGCAATCAAGTGTAGAGGGATGTATTTGTAAAAATTATGTACTGTCGGAAATAGAAAAAATATGATTTTTCGCCTTTACATCTACAATATATGCAGTTGATATGTGAAAGTGTGAAATATCTGTTAAAATAAATTCGGCCTAACTACAGTCTCAGTGGTAGAGAGATAGGAAACGTAGAAAAAGGACTTTACTGAGGAGAGATTAGTGCAGAAATAAGCAATGCGTTTTTTTCTAAGTCCAAAGCGACTTATTTGGACCAGACCATAACTTTTTATTTGTTGCCATAAAACATAAAACCAAATTGTCTGTTAAATGTTAAGAAAATGCTGTTGACTACAAACAATGTATCATGTATCGAGCTGCTGCATATCCCACTGTTAACAAATCGTATTCCCCAGTTGAGATCCTTTGAAAACACACCAAATGATTGAAATCGACGCATTGAAAATTTTGTCACAAAATTGTAGAGGGTTAACTCTTTCAACACCAGTCAACCAGAGGCATTTACTGCCATGACACCGAGTTCCCAGAGACTCTGAGGTCATAGATGAAGCCTATATGTTTATGAAGGAAATTATAAGCTTGTAAAACGTTATTGCTACTACATCCCATACACCATTTAAAAGATCTAATCCCACTGTTGATAAATATGAAGTTTATTTTTATAATATTATTCAAATAATACAACTACAACTTAAATAAATTTATTTTTGAATGAAAATGCAAGCTTACATTTATAACGTCCAGATAAACCACCAAAGAAGCAAAAACTATGGCGATGTTTTTCCATTTGTGACATGTCATAACATGCCCGTGACTTTTTCTTTTATATTTTCATTTTTACGTAATCAGAAAATTATTATAAAAAGTTTTCTTAAATAATATGTATGGTTGCCTATTTCTCGATATCTGTGGCTTTCCGCTCGGTAACATGACGTAACAACGGAAAATACCTCCGTTTTCGAAGCTTCGTATGAATAACATGGGAGGTGAATCGTTTTATGTCGAGTATCGTTCGAAAGCTCTGAACATCAACAATATCACTGTAGCCCTTGCCAAGAGTATTTTCACAGTTGTAAGAAGCGATTTTATTGGATAAAGATTGGTTTCTAATGACACTTTTTCGCCACAGTCTGCTATAAGGGCCGTGATTGGTCAAAACCAGACACGTGACCTAAGGCAGCCAATCATATTACGGCAATGGATACCGTCCTCGTAAACGAAAACTTTTAGATTTAGACGAAAGTTTTGGGTAAAATAATGCTATTCTGAACATATTAAGCAAGAAATCGTTTCCTATACGTAAATTATGGAACTTATTGGACATATCGTGCTAGGTTATGACCTGTGACAAAAATGCTTCATGCATATATTTTCGCATTAAACATTGTGTCCGAGCATGAAGATTGAGGCGGCGAGAGACGAGATGTCACTTGTCAGTGACTTGACTTACATTACATGATCGCACAAAAAGATGGAAATAGTAATTTTATATGTACGTTTGACAACTTTTATGAATGTTGTTGTTGATTTTATTCATTAGTTTATTCAATTTATTTAATGATTTCCTTGAAACATTGTTACTTTGCTCTTTGACAATGTTATTGTGGACCCGCTGCCGAAGCATGTCTGAGAATCGTTGTTTTCAATAACATTGTGATAAATAGTTTATAATTTTAATTCTGTCGATAATATATGATAAATTGAAATTTAATTAGTGTTTTCAGACATTTTGAAATGTGATAGATTTAATATATGAATCATAAGTCAGGTAGGTTCCTAAAATTATGTCTCATTTTGACGTGACTACTAACTGGCCGATTAATCGGCCTCCGGTGTCTGGGGACTCATAACGTTGTGGCCGATTATTCGGCCTGCGGTGTTGAATGCGGGGTTAAACAATCATATGAAACGAAAGGAAATGAAATGATTATATATTTAAAGAAGAAACAAGCCAATATTTATTGTCTTCAAGATGTACATTTTACACAGGAAATGGATCAAAAGATAAAAGAAGACTGGGGAAATAAACAGTGTTTTTTTAGTTCTTTCACCAGCAACTCAAGGGGTGTAGCCATATTTTTTTCCCAAAATAGAGAATGCAAAATAGAGAATGAAAAAACAAATAAAGATGGAAATATTCTTACTATTGAACTATCGATAGAGGATTACCACTTGGCTAAATGTAAACGATCTATAGGACGAAGATGTCTTGTATACTGTAGCTGACGTCCTTCGCGAAGGCTCATCTGAGTCTGCACTTGGGGAGTGGCGACTGGTCCTTCGCGAAAGCTGGTGGTCCGATTCTGTATCCGGGGATGGCGATTCCTCCTCCGCGAACGCCTTCACGAATGCTGATCGTTCGTGTCCGCCGCAGGGGATGGTTGAGTCGACCTTTGCGAAGGCTGGCCTGTAGTGTAGATCTGCTGCCAGATGTCACGTTGATGGAGGGTCCCTCAGAGACGACGTCTGCGTTGGAACCTTCGCGAAGGCTCGGGACCTCGTTGTGGGCTGTGACTTCTTCTCCAGGCCGTAACGTTGTTCATCTCCTGCATAAGGTCCCCCCGGTTTGAAGGTCTGCGGTGGTAGTAGCGCTGCCCTTTCTGCGTTGATAGCGACGTGGCCCACAGGACGCTCATCTGTTGTCATCGTAGATACCTCGGGTACCGTGGAGATCTGCGCTGAAGTCACCGTAGCTGAGACTGGTCGTTACTTGTGATGAACCTCTAGGGAGGTGATCGGTTGATCATCGGAGAGTCCCTGTACCGTCAACGGAACAATCTTGGCAGAGAAAGTCCTTGTAGTCTGCGCAGACGTCCCCGTAGAGTTGTCGTCATCTAAGGGGTGTGTAGCCTTCTCTGGGTAGAGGATGGCATCTATACATCGTCTGCGATGATTGTAGAGCTGCCCTCTCTGCGTTGATAGCGATATGGTCCGGAGATCGCTCATTTGTCGCCCTCGGACTGTGTGCTATATCTCTAGGATGATCAGCAGTGGCTCATCATGAAGCCCTCTCACTGGCATCGGGATGAGGCTTCATTCTGCGTAGAGGATGGCGTCTTCTACGTCTGCGTTGAGGGGTTGTCCGATGTAGAAGCCAACGTCTTCGAAGTAAGGCGGACAACATCCCACGCCCATCCTCCGAGGACACCTCCAGCAGGTCACTTGATGGTAGTAAGTCGTCTAACAGCAGTAGACAGCTCATGAGGGACTCAGCCAGTTTACCCATGCCTTGGAAGTCACCTGGATAGTCGATAGTACGTCTAAGTACGGAGAAAAATTATTTATTAATTTGAATTTCAATTAAAAGCTGATAAAGATTACAGCTATAGCTGGAAGTACATGTTGTGCAGCTAGGGCACAATCAACGTGGGTCTGCAGCAGCAAACCTAAACCTACAACGAAAATAGGTTATCATGAAATGTAAACAACTGAACAAATACGGACAATACCGTGAATAAACAGTGCTAAATACGATTAGATATCCAACCATATTGTTGTAGGATACTAACTAAACCTCTATAAAAGTAGAATAGAGGAGAATAACTAATTAATTAAAGGATATAGTGCCGTATAGGAGACACAGGCGCTCTCACAACCTGCCCACAGGGCGAAGAAGGAGAGAGTGAGGCATGTGGGCACGGTGGCGCCACAGTTTCCTGCCTAAACGGCTGGAGAGATAACTCTTGGTGGGAGTGATTTTACGTCTATTCTTTATTAAAAGGGAGCTTCAATAGGAGATACAAGTGTTCCACTATGTTCGTAAGAAGAAGAAGACAAGCAAAAGAGCATGAGTCAGGATAAGGAAAAATTAAAGTTATCTTTATTATAAACGATAGCTGACATAAACAATAATAACTTTAATACTGAAACTATTAAGGATATAGCTACCATGGGGTCTCACTATCACCATGAAAAGAAACAGGTAGGACGGGTCGTCTCAAACGGTGTGTCAGGACGGGTGTCACAGATGGTGGTTGGGGTCAGGCTGGGTGATAGAGATATCAGATGAGATAAGATAATCCTTTAGGGGAAATAGATTGGGGAAGCAAACGGCATGTCATAACAATTTCCAAATACTATCCTGTCCTGTCGATCATCGGGTGGTCATGCCACCTATATATTTTAAGCTCTTAAATGGGTATCATACTCTTTTTTCATATCTCCACATAAACTTTGTGAAAGAAAGACACGTAAGATGTCAATCAATAGATGAGACATATTCAACACACATGAGAAAGCATAAAATATCTTTGAGATGACCCCTTGTGCCTGTAGGCAGCACATGCATTTCACGCCAGGCGAGTCGACGGTACGTCGTCATACCTGGCTAAGCGACCTAATTGCCATCTATAGTCTGATCTATTGTTTTCAGCAGCTATTGGTATTTTTTCAGTACCAGTATTGGTAACTTTTGTCCAATTTCATGAGCAAACATGCTTTTCTGGATATCCTATTACGCAACCCACTGAACGCCCAGTTAGGCCGATGTGGGTTATTTCGATATATGCTATTTGCAATTCTGTAAATTTTAGTGATACAGAGTAATAGCCTAAAAACAGTTTTTTTTTAATTCCCGACAGTACTTTAGTTACAGTACTTTATAGAAAGGCTTCAATTCTTAAGTAGCTGTTGAGTAAGTCTGAGTGATGAGACAAGAGTTTCCTTGTCATACAGAAACCAACCTGAGATGAGAGTTAGTCATTACTGGGGGCTTCACTATGACTTTGACCTCATACCTTGTTCACAATATTTGTGACCCTGCTCCAAAGATTACAATTAGTTAGTTAGTTTCTTCTTAATTCCACTGTAACTGAAACCATAGTTAGCGTTCAAATGTTTCTTTCGCCTATGACAGGAGAATTACCTTGAGCCCTGACATGACGGATGAAAGAGCCCCAAAATATTAAATTGCCATTAAGGAGATACACATGATATCTCAGAGATGTCTAAGCATGGTTTAAAAAACAAAGCTGTTGTGATGAAATTCAGATAAAATCTAAAAACGAAACATTTTTCATGCAGCTACTGAATAGTAATCAAGGAACCTCTACCTACCCTGACATTGCTGACTTTATGTGGTCTGCTAATTCCATGGTTTGGTTTGGACCATCACTAAGTCCCATGTAGACAACATGGAAAGGTCCATCATTAGCAGGTGGTGGCTTGACAGACTCTCCAGTGACATACTCATGGAGTTTATCAGTGGTATCATCATCCAGCTCAGGGTCATCCAGCAGCAAGTCCACCATCATGGAGGAATCCTTGTCAAGTGTTGTACTCACTTCCCCAACCTGGGAGCTCTCCACATCTAGTAACAAAATGATAAATGCATTTTTTTTCCAATAACAAATAAACAAAACAAGCATTGTCACTAAGGTGAAATAATCCCCCGCCGCAAATTATCAAATCAAACTTATACAGTAATGAAAGTTTAAGATGAAGTTAAATGTCAACAAAAACATTATCTTGCTCTTTAGTTGTTCAAACACACACATATTTTCAAGACTGACTTTGACCTTGACATGAATGTCATAGTGTATGAAATATGCAAAACTAGTACTAAAGAAATTGCTTATTGAAAAACATTCATGGGAGGTCTTGAAAGTCTATGAAGAATATCCAGTAAACCGTTCTTAAAATATCTTGCTGACAATTCAGGTTAACATTCTGAAATCTTCATAGCGTCGTCGTGAACCTAAAAATTATGTGAAGGTCACCAAAATTGACTGGACCCTGGGCCTTCCCTAGATGAAGCTTGGTGTCAAATATGAAGAAAATCCAGAGAATATCTTCTGCGATATCTTGCTGACTATCTTAACAAGCAATTTAACATGCTGAAATCTTCAAAGTGTCGTCATGACCTTGAAAATTATGTGAAGGTCACCAAAATCGACTGGGCCCTGCGCCTTCCCTAGATAAAGCTTGGTATTGAATATGAAGAAAATCCAGTGAACTGTTCTTGAGATAGCTTAACATGCAGGTTTACATGCTGAAATCTTCAAAGTGTCGTCATGACCTTGAAAATTATGTGAAGGTCACCAAAATTGACTGGGCCCTGCGCCTTCCCTAGATAAAGCTTGGTATTGAATATGAAGAAGCTTAACATGTAGGTAAAACATGAAAGTCCCCTTTCACCAAACCTGACTTGGACCTTTCTTATAGTGTGATGAACCTAGGTACCAAATATGAAAAGAATCTAGTGAACGGTTCTTAAGATATTCCAATTTGTACGGACGGACAGACGGAGCCTAATACTATGTCCCCCGCTTTGCGTTAAACGCGCGGCTGGGGATAACAACTAGTTGTAAATTTCTTCATGTATGTCACCAAACAGTCATCTTATTTCACAAACAAATTCAGTAAAACTGCAATTGCTCAAAATTATTTTTAAAAAAAGAAAAGAAAAGGAATATGATTTTTGTAAGAAATCTCTCAATTACCTGTTATTTCTCCATTGCTATCATCAAATGTTGGTAGACTAACACTCTGAGCAAGACTATCATCTGTCTCTGTCACAGTTGCAGACATCTCATCAGGTATTGCTGACAAACCAGACATTGCTGGGTACAACCTTTCGCCTGTTAACACAGCAACAAAACATCAAACACTATATGCATGTTTCTGACCCAACTCATTACCATATTTCAAGAAACCAATTCAGTATTCTGAAGGGAAAATGAGATGCAGACACTCATCAGGTGTTATTTTAACAAAAATAAAAAGTACATGAATAAGATGAATTACAGTTACAGTGTGTTTAGAAATACATGGTTGTTGTGGATAACACTTTTTTTAAACTACATTATTAAATGTCATGCCATTAACAAAATCATAAATTCATTTTGGTGCAACATATCATTCACTTAATTCATCTCTCTGAACCTTGTAGTTTCTGAGAGAAAGATTATTACTCATTAAGCCCGAGAGCCACTTCACTACTCAACACCTGGAACCCCTCACTGATTGCCCGACTCGTGTGCCGAGACTAATTAGTGCTAATCACACCTGATTTGCCTGGCAGGTTTCGAGGATGACAGGAAACTGTCTAGTCGTACAAACAAGTCCTGATTGTTGTGTCGTAAAGATATATGTTGGAAGAAAGCAGGTGTGAATACATATCGTGTATTGCAAAGTTTTATGTAATTTTATTGCAAGCTTCTCTTGAAGACCTTTGGCGGCTTGTACATTCATATTTTATCACCGTTTGCATGTATTCTTTGTATGTATGAGATGAGACACACATAAACAAATTCTCCCTCTCATATCATTGTGTGAGGTATAATTTTACAAAATATCTCTGACAATGACATATTGTAAAGAAGAATTTACTTAGCGTTTTTGCCGATACATTTCTAGTGTATGGGTCATTTTCAAAATTGGTAGGATTATCTGTCCGTTCCAAATAAAAAAAAACTCTCTTAAATTAAAAGGATTTTTTTGTGCTAGAAAACATATTTAGATGTTTACTAGTCAGTAAATGTGGTATATCATTAGTCTTGTCATTTTGAAATTTATATTTAGCCACATTTTAGGGTCAAAATTGGCAGATTTGCTCTGTCCGGAGGTGACGGTCCTAATATCAATGTCTCACAAATAATGTAAATATAAATGCAAATAAACAAACTAATTCACATTATCCCAGTTAGGAATGAACAGCCATACTCAAACTGCATTTAATTTGTTTTTAACTTTAAAAAGGTTTTTGCTACAAATTGTAACATGCTTGTCCTGTGATTTTGTGTCCTGACTGTTACCAGTGCATGAAATTCCTGCAATAATTTCCCGTTGGAGCTAGATTGTAATTCTACTGCCTGTGTCTGATTGAGCTAGCCCCTGTGCATGTGACAGCAGATGAAATATTGAAATTCAACACATTTTGCAGAAAATTGACTCCATCAAATATGTATAAATGTTATGTGTCAACCTTAATTGTCCAGACCGTTACCAATGTATTTTGTATCAAATATATCTCTTTGTTTTTTTAAATTTCAATGGATATGTTGCCCAGCAATGGAAGAGGTGGAAGGCATGTCCTTTGAATCTTTTAGGGATCATTCATTTTTTTATTTTAGATTTACTTACAAAATTTTCTTGACCGTTACTGTCCAAACCGTTACCATCCTGCAAAGTAACGGTTTGGACAGTCCTTGTAACGGTCGGGACAAAATGATTTGTATTTCAAAAGGTTGTTCATTAATATTTGAAATATAACAAATTTATAATTAGTTTAAGGGTTAAGATAAGTTTAAGCATGGACTTTTACTGTTCAAAGCAGTTTTGATGTAGTAGCATGAAAAACACAGTCTCTAGTAACGGTATGGACAAATAATAGTAACGGTCTGGACATATCTTTAATATATTTCAATTTTAAAGAATATGTTCCATGGTGTGATGATAATTTCTATTTACTTATCTATCTGCTTTAAATAATAAAAACCACGTTAAGTTTCTATTTTCTATAAGATCTATAGTCTTTATAAATTAAAGGTAATGGTTAGGACATCTATGGTAACAGTTTGGTCAAAATGTAGTAACGGTAAACAACTTTCAGTATTCCAATCTTAAAGATTTTTTGGGTGTAAACTGTTTTAACTTTAACTGTGAGATATGTAAGGCTACCATTTACTTTGAATATTTGCTAGGTGCTAATATGTTGGCCAAACCTTTGTATTTTGATAAATATGTGTTACCATCTCACGATTAACAAAAACTAAAGGTATCCGAGTGAATGAAAGAAGTATATTTCGTGGAGGCTAATATTGCACCATAATATCAACAGGAAAATGATATCTATGCAGTGTCCTGCGTAGCATGACCATGTGTACAGTATCATAGTTGTTGCAGTACCTTTCAGAATTTAATCTTTTGCAACTTTTAGAGGGATAATATTTGTTTGTTACACTGATGTCCTGACCGTTACCAATAATGTCATAACCGTTACTATTCATTCAATTTTTGTTCCCCAATTGCACTCTTCTTTAGATTATAAGTGATTTTCAACCTAGACAGGGGTGTTTTTCTATTCTTTAGAAGGTACAGTTTGATTTTATTCAAAAGCCTAAATTCATTCACAAGTTTCATATGGATATAACAAATGTCCAAACCGTTACCACAGCATGGAAGAAAACATGTCACATTTGCTACAAGTTACAATTTCTAATACACATTTCACTGTGTGTCCAAAATAGGGTTAGCAATTGAAGTAAATGATATCATTTTTTCCTTTCATGTTATCTGTTTCTATGTTGAATTCAATTGTTTAAGGTTTATGTCCAGCCCGTTACCATTCCTGTCCAAACCGTTACCACTATTGTCCTAACCGTTACTGGTGTTAATTGACTGCTCTAAATAATTCATGATAATACATGAAACACTCCCCTTTATGCTGGTGTCATCAAAAGATGTCCTGGGCTTAGTAGCTGATGTTTATTTTAGACAATTTTACCTGTTGAAATCTATATGCATAATAATGTTTTAGAAAAATGTGATTATTTTGTGGTAAATAAATGAAAGATACAAAATAACACTTTCAAGATTCATGATAATAGTTTTTACCTTCAAGTTTGATTAAGTCGGTGTAAAAGCTGTGAATGCCATCTTTAAAAGATTTTTATGAATTATATTTCAAAATCCTTATTCTCATTAAGAAATGGTAACGGTCAGGACTTTCCCTCACCCTATTAATTACTTATGTTTCAATTAAAAGGCCAATTAGTAAATTTGAGCCTGCATGTTTGTATTATTGAATAATTAAGTATTTGGGATTTCATTTGAATAAAACCTAAATCAATTTTCAGGAGTTTGATTTTACTGTAATAAAGAATTGAAAATCCTACCAATTTGGAAAATGACCCGTATACGAATTATTTTAATGAAAGTACTATTACACTAGTCTGTGACTAACGTAGAGCACATTCATAGCTTGTCACTTTGTTTCATCTAGATTTAATGCAAAAAACATATGTGACCATACAAACATACATATAAAAAGTGTATATTACATATTCCTTGCATAGAAATAAAAAAAAAGAGTCACGTGATAGGGCATCATCAAATTTCAAATCGGGCCAGGGCGAAATTTCTGTAGGGCACGTTTGGTCACTCAACAGCTTGGATAGAGATTGATTATTGGCTATATCGTTGACCAGTCGATATGCTGGGTTTCGGCTTTATCAACTCAAGCTATCATGTAACAGTTTGTGTATTGTAAACATACACACTGGTAACGATGTATGAAATATACACATAAGACAAATAGGAGTAGATAGACACTTTGGCGAGTTTATTTGTCCTCATTTAGTGTATTTCGATTCGTAAAACAAAGCGATTGAAATCAAACCATTGAGTAGAGATACATGAAACTTTCAACAGCTTGAACAAAAATGCTTGAAATACCTTTGAATGGTTTACTTATGATATTACTGCTGTCTATGTGTGAGAATTTTTTGAATTACCGACTTACTGTGTTTTGTAACAAACATAGTAAAAGATTTCATCGTTGTAATAACAATGACATGTATATATATATTCGATGCAAAGGAGTGATATTCGATTAGGTAACATTATCAACTTTAGATTATGGAAAATAACTAGTTACAATTCAGTAAGCTTCAAATTAGTAAGTTAAATTATGTCTAATCTATTCGAGCTTGGATGTATAATTATTTGTGTTTATACATTATGTTTCATTATATGAAACATGACAACGTAATAATACCTAAAATATAAATTCAAGCTATTCTATTGTGTTTGAATTCTTTGCATGTCCATGAAATTTCGTATATTGTTCAGAAAGTTGAAAAAACTATAATCTTCAGTAACCTCTAAACCATTACATCTAATTCAATCAATGTGTATACGAAGTATTTTAGTATGAAGAATACCAGACACTTACCTCTGTAAAAACATCATAATCATGTGTTCATTTGCCAAACGCTGTACAAGCTTATGATAATGATTAGCAATTGCTATCAAAACACTTTAAATACTTCTTCTGATTGACACTAAAGGTAGCATCTCTCGCAAGAAAAGCTAATATTTGCTCAGTACTACTAAATTGGTTGAAATAATAGGTACAGTGCGATTTTTACAACAAACTAAAACACACATGTGTGTCTCTAGCTGAATAAGAGGTGCTATCTGTTGACGAATATATGTGGCTCTCGCTGTGAGAAACTGCCAATTACCTGCCCCATAAACACCTCACTCGATGTGAGGAGCTGATTAATTTGCCCCATATATGCGCCTCTCGGCCTTAATGAGTTAAAGGGGCACTGATCTATGGCTTCAACCTGGCAGTCAAACAGTTTTCACAAGCCTTTTCGCTGAACATGGGTATATGTAAAATATTATTAATTATGCAACTGATAAAGTGCCTAGGTATCTCAATAATTTTACATATTGCCTGAAAACTTGATTTCTTAATAGATTAACTTGAAGCAATTAAGAAGTTCCAATGTACTATAAAAAAATCACAATAGACAAATTAAGTTGGGATTAGAAGTGAGTGAGAGAGTTTGGTTTTATGCCGCTTTTCAATATTCCAGCAATATCACCACGGGGTACACCAGAAATGGACTTCACACATTATACCCATGTGGGGAATTGAACACAGGTCTTAGGAGTTACGAGCGAACACTTTAATCACCGCCCCAGACTCATAAAGAAATACCTGGATATATTGGTTCCAATTAGATGATAATCCCGTTGTCAGGAAACTGCTATCAGTAGGAAGTAGGAAAATGTATCTGTAAAACCACTTAAGACTACTTTAGATACCAAGATGAGATGGTTTCAGTTTAGAATTATTTGTAGGATATCAACAAACTCATTTTTATATAAAATCAACATAAATGAGAGTAATCTTATCAATACAACTCACAAAGATGCCTACATTTCCCAACATTCAATCCACGGTGATCTAAGTGAGGAAATGCGCACTTATACTCTCAAATGACTGACTGACTGACTGACTGAGTTTGGTTTTACACCGCTTTTAGCAATATTCCAGCAACATCATAGCAGGGGACACCAGAAATGGGCTTCACACATTGTACCCATGTGGGGATTCGAACCCAGGTCTTCGGCGTGACGAGCCAACGCTTTAACCACTAGGCTACCCCACCGGCCCCTACTCTCAAATGAACCTATGATTGGTGGAGCATAGTCATTAACCAGTCAAGATTCTTGAGACACAGGGCTCGATTTAAGAGATGTTCACCTACTTGCACCAGGTGCAACCTGAGATGAAAACCTAGTTGCACTGACCAAATTCATGTTGCACTGCTTTTATTGTGATTTGTAATGAAAGAAATATGCTGTTGACTTATTTAGGTGTTTTATTCAGAGTTTTACCCACTCAAAAATTGACCTGGTGCAAGTTAGACTAATAACTAGGTTGCATTTTGCAATATTGGATTGCACCAGTGCAAGTAACAAAGCACTAAATCAAGCCCTGAGACATCATCTGGGTATGTATGGGAAAACAACAATAAAAAAGGCAACAATCAGTCCTTGTGAAATATTGGAAATCAGGGCCCCTTCAATCTTTACTGAATCTTTGTGTACTGAGATGTAACAGACACTGACACAAGCAGGCCATCACATTGGCAAATTTGAATATAGTCAAGCAGGGTAATAACGACAAATACACAATTAGAATGAAGAAAACAGAATGGAACATCAGGAGTGGAGGGAGTATTCAAAGGTTCCATGGTTTCAAAGAGGAGCTTTGAATTGAATGCAGGAGAAAACAATTACATGCCTGTGTTCCATGTATCTCTAGTCTTTCGTTATCTCTAGTGTCTGCTTTTTTTATATATAATTCTATCTCTTGCGCTTTGAGCATGTTGTACATGGAATATAATGCATTACAAGCATGCTATCATTATTATTATTACGCCTGTGGGGCACAAACCTGCACAAAGATGTGCAGCTCTTCAGAGGAGAGGGCCATATTTACCCCATTTCTGATGTTTTATTTTGTTGTTCTACAGCTTGATATGCCATATCAAAATAAAATATATATAATTATGGCCCATTAATCAAATCACTGATATCGTGAACAATGAGCTATTCCGTCGGGATATGATAAGAAGTGACTATGCCTGTCCATCTGATCTGACTGATCACCTCTATGGCTAGGACAGATTTCTGTGGGCAGAATTCCTGTATGGTTCTTAGATCAGACAATGACAAAAGGATAATAATGAACAAACCTTGACTGAGAAATTCTAGCTTACTGCTTACCATCTTGCACATCCTGCAACAGACAAGTGATAGCATGGCTGGCCCATGGTCCACCCCAAGTGATAGTGCCATGGTTGAATTCTTGGTTGGCAACGAGCAGAATTAATTTTTCCAGTTGTTCCTGTGTCATGGATTCAGTCAGGCTTATAGCAGGGCGTGTACTATTACAAATTCTAGCAAACACCTGTAATATAAGATGTAACATGTTTTTTTTTACAAAAATTGCCTTCTGATTCAGCATATGATCCTGCCCAAAGCTTTGAAAATAGAACATTTCAGTATGAGAAAAATAGAAGTAATCAACATGCATCAAACAGTATCATGAATTATGAACTGATACATCAGATTTAGACTGTATCTTTGTCACCATCTAAAAACTTAGAAGAATTTCTTATTTCATTTTCCTTCGCCAAATAAGCCTGGAACATCCATGAAACAATATATTTCTCTTGATTACAGTTCACTGAACAGAATAACTTCATCAGAGTTCAACTTAGTGAAAAATAGTAAGCATGAAATAATAGCTGCATGAAAATACTTTTACCTGCCTAAACATTCATATCCAATATCCTTATTGTACACACCACACACCAAAAACTTTCTCTTTAGTTTAAAGCAACATTGCCAACTGTAAATGCAATACCAACCTTACAAGCCACCAAGAACAAGTCGACATGGCATGTGAAATCCATGCTGAGTAGCAGAGCCATAAGACCTCTAACCACTGCTAGACAACGATCCCGCGGCAACACGAGGGTAGTATCGGACTCATCCTCCCCTCCATTGGGTGCAGCCCCTCCTTCTTCTCTCCAACCCGGCAGCTTCTGCAACATAGCGGCATCGGCCCGTCGGATGTGAACAATGTCTTTTAAGTGCTGCAGGAAGAACATAAATGCTGAAAATTAGAGGTTAATTTAGAATCTGTTCCACAATGATTACCTTTGTTTTTTTGTAAAAAATAGTTCCAAAGGTTATGTACGCAATATTCAGTTCCATACATAATTTGAAATCATGATATCCAAAACCAAGTTGATCACATTCTCGCCTGATACATGACAAGAGTATAAGATTTTGGACTTAAGCCACTCAACAAAAGTTGCTGTCAGCATTGATATTCAAATGTATTTTGCATAAATATGAAATACAAAGCATGAGCACAATACAAACTGCAAATAACAAAATCTCAATGCTTCTGAATCTGCAATAATGAATTTTCCACTGTAGAGTCACACAGTTAAGTTTTCTGGTCAACTCTGAGCATAATGTACCTTCCGTAAAGGTGATTATTTTCCTAATAAGATACATTTTTGGGCTTCACATGAAACCAACTAAAACAGACCTAGTGATGCCATCACTAACAAACCATTCATGGTTAAGTTCAGCTTTTTTCAGTCTGCTTGTATCAGAACTCCTTAATCTACATTTATCAGGGCATCTTCCCAAGGCAAGGGAGTTAACATATTGTAAAAGTCAAGTTTCCACCCTTTCCGGAAGAGGCTGGAAGAGATTATGGAGTCATATTTTGGTAGGACTAAGGTGTCTATGTATTGTCCAATCAATATCAAGCAAAAATATCAACATTTAGTTCCTGAACAACATAGCATCTGCTGTGCAGGGTTTGGTTGATTGCAGAGCATGTGTACTGGATGCTAAACAGACAGTTTCCAAACCTTTCTTTATTTGTAACTATGGTGTTTAAATGGCCTAAAGCAGTCCGTAGGAAAGACCCCATTTTATTGCTGGTTTCATTGAATGTTTGATTATCGATCAGATGATGCTGACCAGGTGTCACTATTTTGTTTAAAGCAAAGGAGGGACATATAAAGGCTAGAACTTGTAATAGCAACTGGTGGTCATCCACGAAATTCCACCCTATTTCAGCAAGGGTGCAAACTGGACTTTGACAGTCAGCTAATTCCCTTACCTATATAGTTTTAGAGATGTTAACAGAACAATGGCCATACATGGCCTTTCAAACATAGTTGCTGTGCTGACCATAAAGGAAATCAGATTAAAAACTGAACAAATTCAAATGTCATCACTGGTGGGAACTAGTGTGTGAAGTCTAAGCTTCATTTATAAAGTGGTTTCTTGGAGATGTTTTTTTTACTCATAGGACTGCACATCTTAAAATTTGGGTGAAAATGCCCAAACAATGACCATAAACATCATTATGGCTGCCATGGGGGCCATATAGATATAGGACCAGTCCTTATTGCATGTCATTACATTTTGAGTGAAAATGACTGAGTAATGGCCATAAATAGATATTTTCAAAAAGGCCAGACAGAAAATCCAATTCCAAACTCCTGAACAATTTCAGGATTGGTTGGAACAAGCATGTAAAGCATGTAACGTTGCACTGGTCCAGTTGTTTCTGAGAAGACATGTTTACAAAAACGCCAGATAGATGGCGGACAACAAGGCCATGATATAACGCTAACCTGACTTGCAGTGTCGAAACAACAACTAAGTTTCAGGATCATACAAGTGAAAATGTAACAATAACTGGCAATTATACTGATATATCCATCTTTTACAAAATATCCTCAAAGATGATCATGAACTTTGATAGACGTGGCATGTAGCTATGGCAAAGCATTTCTAAATGAGTCAACATTTTAACTGAGCATATAGTTCTTGAGGCAGACTGTCACTCACAGCATGATGGCGAATGCTGTATTAGTGATTTTATGACAATTACAGAACATGCTACCATAGTTTTATAGCTATCCTTTTGCCTCTACATCAGGTAACTTCCACAAAAATATATAATCTTTTGTGCTTACCAAAGAAAGAAAAAAGTACTTTTCCATGATAAAGAGCAATTAACCTTAGAAGCATACTGTGACAACTCCTTCTTAAACTGCTGTTCCTGCTGCTTCATGAGAGCCTGAGCCTCTTTCCCCACCACAGCCTGGCCTCCACTCTTCTCAAGCTGGCTCTCAACAAACTTCTTCTTGGCTAACTCTAGATCATGAAGTCTTTGCTTGTGGTGTAGAATGCGTTTTTGAAGTGACCTCCTGTACAGTTTGCCAGAACGAGATTTGCTTCGAGATGGATTGTTAGACACGTGACCCTGGATGAAACCCCAACGGTTTGCTTGGCATGATCCTGAAATAAATATGTAATTTTTTAAGTAAAATTGATATTTTTATACTTATCCTGACTCATGATCTTTTGCTTATCTCCCTTTCCTTTTCGAATGGTAGTGGAACACTTGAATCCCTTGAATCCGTAAAAATACACTCACCCACGAGTGACCTCCCTTTTGCCCTTTTCCCGCGCAAACAGTCATGTGACCTGCCTTACTTGTCACTCTCTCCAGAATTTCTGCCCATGCACTTGGATCTGCTGTGAAATCCAAAGTGTCTTCAATGGGGAGGTTGGGAGGGCTTCTCGTCATGAGTCAGGATAAGTATAAAAATATCAATTTTACTTAAAAAGTTACATATTTTTACTTATCCTGACTCATGATCTTTTGCTTATAGAATCCGACGGATTGGTGGTGGGTCAAGCCACTTCGTGGATTCATCAGCTGTCCTTAGATATGTCCTGTATTCCCCCCCCCCCCCCACCCTCCCCTATGGGAACTGCGAAATGGCATTTCCATGATCCTATTCTTCCAACTTCCGTTATAACTCAGGGGACCCCTTTCTTGTCTTACTTCAGTCTTAGACAAGTTGAATCATGTTGATTCATGTGGCTACTGATAAACTAGTATTCTCCTATTACTAGATATCTCATAACAACCCATAGATTATGATAAGATCTTTATCATAAATGAGTTGCGACCCCTTCACGTACAGGTAAGATCTTTACCCGTACAGGATCTTTAATCACTCATGCTAGCCTGTGCTAGACTGTGCGCATGGACTTTCAAACTAATACTTTTTCTTTAGTAAAGTTATCAACAAGTCAACGTGATAAAGGGTGAGATTTTTCAACTCAGCGCCTTTGAGGAACCATTAGTTGTTGTGCTACAACGAGAGGCCCAAATTGGTGAATGCCTGAGTAGTCTTCAGTGGCTATGTCTCGTAGGTAGTGGTTGGCAAACACTGTTTCCGACTTCCAAAAGCAGCCCTCCATAATTGTTGGTATAGAGCAATTTCCATGCAGAGCCAGTGTTGACGCCAGTGCTCTGACTTCGTGTGGGTTGGAAGTTCTAGGAGGTTCTAGTCCTGCTGCTTTATAGACTCTCAATATGACGGCTCTCATCCAGAACGATATGGTCGTTCTTGAGACTTCTGCTGATGTCTCTGTTGATAATGGGATGAACAGGCGCTTGAATTTTTGTCTCCTTGTCTCAGTCTTTTGAAGATATATCTTCAGGGCTCTGATCAGACACAAGGATAGTCCAGCGCATGTATCTCTGATATTCGAGCTGCCGTGGCTAGAGCAAGCAGGAACAGAGTCTTCTGTGTCAGCAGCTCGAGGGTAGTCTGGTCTAGTGGTTCGTAGACATCACTCGTAAGATGATGTAGAATTACATTCAGATCCCAGGCTGGAGCTCTGAATTTCTTTTGCTGGTCCTCCAGTTTAAAAGATCTCAGCAGAGCAAGTAATTCTGGTACTTTCATCAACTTGATGCCTGTTTTCATGGTAATCACTGTACTGATGGCAGTGAGGTATGTAGATAATGTCGAACCTTTCAGATGTCTGGTCTGACTAAGATGACACAGATATTCCGCCACTTGAGGATGAGTAGCTTTCATCGCAGTGAAGCCTTTCCGCCTTGCATAAGTCTCAAACTTACAGGTTACGAGTAGATCTGCGTAACGCTAGCATTACTGCCTTGGCTGCCCTGGAGGAGTATCCTCTTTTCTTCAAACATGTTTTGATATGGTCCACACATGTAGCTGGAACACTGTCGGGTTCCCGTGGGCTTGCTTGGTGTGTGGATGTATGAGTAGGTTCGGCCAATCTGGTAACTTGATAACTGGACTTCCGAGATCTTCTATTAGGTCTAGGAACCATACTCTCGCTGGCCAGTAGGGCGCGACCAAAGTCAGTTGTAGCGCCTGTGTCTGTTTGATCTTCAACAGTACTTCTGGAAGTAATATTGGGGGTGGAAACGCGTAGGCGTTTAGTCCTTCCCATGATATGCACAGTGCATCTGTTGCCTAGGCTTGAGGATCTGGAACTGGTGAGACAAACGTCTGTAGTTGTTTGTTGAACCTCGTGGCAAACAGGTCTATGTATGAGGATCCTATTTCCCTTATGATGAGCCGGAACGCTTCTGGATGGAGCATCCATTCCGTAGGTGACGGGTGCAGTGGTCGGGAGAGAGCGACTGCAAGTACGTTCTTGGCTCCGGGTATGTGACACGCCTTTATCCAGATGTTTGCTTCCTGCGTGATGTGGAACAACTGGAATGTGAGCTATAGCAGGCTTGGAGACCTTGTGGAACCTTGCCGATTTATGGAGAATGCCACTGTAGAGTTGTCCGTGTGGATCATCAGCATTCTGTTGTTCAGCGAGCTCGACCATAGTTGTAAGGCGTTGATCACGGCTTTTATCTCCAGCAGATTGATGTAAAGATGCTGCTCTATTTTGGACCACCTTCCTGACGCAACTTGATTGTTGAGATGCGCACCCCAACCCTGCATCGAGGAGTCTGCGTAGAGTTGTGTGTTGAAGGCTGGCTCTTGTATATAGGTCCCTCCGCAAACGTTTGACCTGTGCGTCCACCACAGTAGATACCTCTTGAGGTTGTCTGCCGACACTGTCTAGATGTTTTGTCAGGAACCGTTGCAGCGGTCTTAGTTGTAACCGTCCTGTGCGAGTCAAGTCCTGCGCCATGGTTAGTAGACCGAGTAGAACTTGCCATGATCGTAGTGTTAACGGAGAGATGACTGCTGGTGGAATCATGCAGGTCTATGCTGGCCATGTAATCTGCTGGACGGACGAGTAGTTTGAGTTGAGGTAGGTGGATCATTCTGAACCTCTCTGGTTTCAGTACATAGTCTTTGTTGAATTTGAGCATGTTGTAAATCAGTCTGAACTTCTCCTTGGAGTTCTTCTTGGGTACTAGAAAAATTGGGGAATAGAAGCCTGGAGTGAGATGATGCTGATCTATTATCTCTATCGCCTCCTTCATCAGAAGTGAGTCGATGGCTTCTTGTAGTTTGTCTGCCTGTTCCTCTGCATAGTTGAAGACCATCGGGCTGAGGTTTAGCGGAGGTGTGGCCTCGAGTTGTACTTTGTATCCTTCTCTTAGTACTTGGGAGACGTAGTCGTCCTCTAGTATTTCCCAATTCTTCCAGTACCTTTGTAGACGTCCACCCACTGTCGACAGTTTTACAGGAACGGCTGGGGGTGGAAGACTCCAGTCGTTCCGAACCTTGATATCAACGTCTAGTTCCTCTGGATCCTCTGGGAGTGCGGCCTCTCCCTGAGTTTCCTCTGTAATTTCCAGATGGGCGACGAAAAGATCCTTTGCCGCCTCTGAAGCTGGGGTACTTCTTGTCCTTTGCCTTCTGTATGCCGGAATATTTGGACTTGCTGTTATACTTTTGGGAAGTATGACGGATGACGTTGGCCAGAGTATCTATGGATTTTATCATCATAACTTCTCTAGAGTCGTGCGTAGCTTCCTTAGCTGCATCCTCTATTTGTCCTCCAAAGATAGTAGGCGCGCCTCCCATGGAGCTCTCAGTAGCGGTTGGGTGAATCTATCACTCCATGAACAGGATGCAAGTAGCCCTTGTCTGCGTAGTAAAGTGAGACCTGCAGATATAGATGCCAGATGGTCCGATTAATAGTATTGGTCCTTCTTCTGTGTTATGAGGGCCCAATATATCATTCTATCCTCTTCCGACCTTGAGTTCTGGAATTTATTGATCAATGCTTCATTGATGGCTCTGGACCTGGCCAACCCGAAGAAGGATCTCCTTGTAGCAGTATTAAGTTGAGATAACTTTTTGTCTTCCACCTTATACATCTTGTTTCGGGAGTCATTGACTAACTTGATGTTATCATCCCATTCAGGCGCCTTTGTAAATGGATCCATATGATGTAAGGGGAATATCTTCACATTTAATGATGGTAGGTGTTGACTCTGTTACTTGGATGCTTTCGCAAAAGCTGTGCGTAGGTTAGAGGGTACCTTGGATATAGGTTCAATCGGAGGGATAGTGACGGAGTCGAAGTCGTCGTTACGCATCCTTCATCTTTATCTTTATCCTTAGAAGGAGACTCCAAGTTCAACCCGTTGGCAATCCACGCTGTAACCTCTGAGTCTGGGAAGACAAAGTCTGCTTGCTGATACAAAGTCTCCTGAATATTAGTGCTAGGTCTCTGCGACTCATCCATCTGCAAACATGTATCCCTTCTCGAACCTTCATCATCCTTTCGCGAACCTCTATCTGAAGATTTCTTCCTATGCGAACGTCTATCTTGAGAGTGCTCTCTTAGCGAACCTCTATCTGTAGATACATCTCTTCGTGAACCTCTGTGAGGTGAGCTATCCCTTCGCGAACGTCTGTCGTTGGATGAACTTCTGTGATGTGAGCCTTCTCTTCAAGAACCTCTGTCTCGTGATGAGTGACTTCGCGAACGTCTGTGAGAGATATGAGATCTCGACCTAGAGCGGCTAGGTGTAGGAGATGGATCCTTCAATGTTCTCGAACGTTGAGGGTTCGCAGATGTAGAACTGTGAGTAGGCATCTCATCTCTTCTAGCCTCTTCCAAGATGACAGAGTCGTCCGACTGTGGAGACCTTCGCAAAGGTGTACGTTCGCCAACGTAGTCTTGAGACGTAGTTCTATGAGGAGTAGGTTCGCACAGGTCCGTAGGTTTGCACACCGTGTCGGTAGATGAGAGGCTTCGCCGAGCCTTCGCTTCTTCCTGGAACCTACATTCCATCATGGCCATCATGTGGTTGAATTGTTTCATAAATTCGCCCGGGTCAAAGTTCTGCATAGGTTGAAGCTGCTGAGGTGTAGACGAAGCGTTCACGAACGCTGATGAGTTCTGCGCCTCAACTTCACTCCATTGAGAAGTAGGTGGTAGTTCGTCAAACAGCTGTCCTGCTCTGACCGTTGTAGGGGACGATCTAGTAGTTGTAGAGGTCGATTGAGTCGCTGATCTCATAGATACTTCAGGTAGAAGTAATGGGGGGGTCATCAAAGATGTCTACTTTGAGTGGAGGTAATATCTCTTCGTTGAAGGATTTCTGCTGCGTTGATGTACTAGCACATGTAGATTTGCCCTCCGATCTGGTAACAGATGCTTTCTTCTGAGATGTAGAAGAAGATGACGTCTGCGTTGTAGACGATCTCTTCTTGGCCCCCTTACCAGCAGACTGCCCATGTAACGCACTAAACATAGCACCAGTATTATGAACTTCAGCAGTAGCAAGCAACATACGGTTTGAAGGCTGATCTCCAGTTTTATCAGCCTTGACTTGAGATGACTTTCTCACCCGATCCGTGGCACGTCTATAGATATAAGACAAATATTGATTAAATTGAAGATTTGATAAATCAACGTAATAAGTACAGCGCAAGCTGGAAGAACATGGTTTTATGCACAAAGGGCACTGGGGGTGAGGATCAGCCACGGATAACCTGTGCCTGCAAGATTTCATGAAATGTAAACAAAGTTACATAACGATGAAATAAAGACACAAATGCAAATAATTTCTACAATTTTTTTACATATAATACATAGTAGTTATTGCCAAATCCATATACAGCATAATTTTGAAGAATAGGACCTAAATAAAAAGGATATAATGCCGTATACGGGACTCCAGTGCTCGCCCAACCATCCGCTTGGGCGAAAAGGGAGAGAGTGACAAGTAAGGCAGGTCACATGACTGCGCGTGAAAAGGGCAAAAGGGAGGTAACTTGTGGGTGAGTGTATTTTTACGTCCGCTTGGGGAACTTCAAGGGATTCAAGTGTTCCACTACCATTCAAAAAGGAAAGGGAGATAAGCAAAAGATCATGAGTCAGGATAAGTAAAAATATTGAATATTTAAACAGCAATACAAACATATAACCTTCTTGCAAAGTCAACCTTTATTAAAATTTGCCTTCAATATTGTTTAATCCTGGCCAAATCATGGTGATCAGCAGATCACACCAGCTCACCATTATTTACAAGCAACAACAGTTTAATGGAAAACAGATACACAGATCCACTTTAGTAAAAATGTGAAGTGAAATGGTCCATGGCTTGTAGGAACAGGTTTCTAAATAGGCTTCTTTCTGATTTTACACACATGCATTATGATTACAGTGCATATTTTCTCATGAACTAATCCAGAATTGCAATATATTACAATAGTGAGCTATGTTAGCCACAAATTTTAACGAATATATCTTACATAATCTGGTGCATAGGATGGTCGGATATATTTAACGAATGGAACTATTTAACAAGTCCTTGACAAGCCTAATATGCTTGTCATCGCCAAAATGCTGTGTTGGCATGTTATGGTCAAAGTTCAAGAAATATTATGATAAAAGTACCCATTTTATGTCAACTAAAAATTGTTTCAAGGCGTGACAAGCAGTAAACTAACCATGGTTGTTGTAAATAACGGTGGGTTGGTGCATTGACAATAACTGCACAAAAGATACCACTGAATTTGTTGTACTGGCACACTGACTTTAAAACCAATGGGCCATTTTTAGAAAAATGAACCTATGGTACAAGGCACATGCCTTCATAATCACTGTTGTATGGAAGGGTTTATACAACTGATCAAATTATGGCGGGGGTTTCAGCAGCCATTGGCTCCATATCAACCAGTGTATGGGAAGTTCTGTCCTGCTGTATTCATGTTTATCTATTAGCCCTTCAATGTTGTCGCTATGGCAAAGCATCTGCCAAATTGGCTGAAGATGCATAGTCAACTGACAACACATTCGGAGCTAGCTTAACCCATTCAACACCGCAGGCCGCTTATGCGGCCACAACGTAATGAGTCCCAAGACACCGGAGGCCGCTTAAGCGGCCAGGCAGTAGTCACGTCAAAATTAGTCATAATTTTAGGAACCTACCTGACTTATGATTCATATATTAAATCTATCACATTTCACAATGTCTGAAAACACTTATTAAATTTCAATTTATCATATATTATCAGCAGAATTAAAATTATAAACTATTTTTCGCAATGTTACTGAAAACAACGATTCTCGGGCACATGCTTCGGCAGCGGGTCCACAATAACGTTGTCAAAGAGCAAAGTAACGATGTTTCGAGGAATTCAGTAAATAAATTGAATAAACTAATGAATAAAATCAACAACAACATTCATAAAAGTTGTCAAACGTACATATAAAATTACTATTTCCATCTTTATGTGCGATCATGTAATGTAAGTCAAGTCACTGACAACTGACATCTCGGCTCTCGCCGCCTCAATCTTCACGCTCGGACACGATGTTTAATGCGAAAATATGTACATGAAGCATTTTTGTCACAGGTCATAACCTAGCACGATACGTCCAATAAGTTCCATAATTTACGTATAGGTAGCGATTTCTTGCTTAATATGTTCAAAATAGCGTTCTTTTAACCAAAACTTTCGTCTAAATCTAAATGTTTTCGTTTACGATGGCGGCATCCATTGCTGTAATATGATTGGCTGCCTCATGTCACGTGTCTGATTTTGACCAATAACGACCCTTATAGCAGACTATAGCGAAAAAGCGTCATTAGAAACCAATTTTTATCCAATAAAATCGCTTCTTACAACTGTGAAAATACTCTTGGCAAGGGTTCAGTGATGTTGTTGATGTTCAGAGCTTTCGAACGATACCCGACATCAAACGATTCGCCTCCCATGTTTTTCATACGAAGCTTCGAAAACGGAGGTATTTTCCGTTGTTATGTCATGTTACCGAGCGGAAAGCCACAGATATCGGGAAATAGGCGACCATACATATTATTTAAGAAATCTTTTTATAATAATTTTCTGATTACGTAAAAATGAAAATATGAAAGAAAAAGGCACGGACATGTTATGACATGTCACAAATGGAAAAAAATCGCCGTAGTTTTTGCTTCTTTCGTGGTTTATCTGGAGGTTATAAATGTAAGCTTGCATTTTCATTCAAAAATAATTTTATTTAAGTTGTAGTTGTATTATTTGAATAATATTATAAAAATAAACTTCATATTTATCAACAGTAGGATTAGATCTTTTAAATGGTGTATGGGATGTAGTAGCAATAACGTTTTACAAGCTTATAATTTCCTTCATAAACATAGGCTTCATCTATGACCTCAGAGTCTCTGGGAACTCGGTGTCATGGCACTAAATGCCTCTGGTTGACTGGTGTTGAAAGAGTTAAACTCAAAAGATATCTATGATTACAATATTTTTAAAAATATGCTATGGGAGAGTAAGATTTCCTCACAATAGCATTAGAACAATCTCAGCCCTCAGGTCATGCAAAAACCATAAAACTCCCAGAGCAACACAAGAGAGAATCTCACCTGCATCCTTTCTCAGATTTACTTTTTCTGATTCTTCTACTCCCGGTGTAAGACCAAAAGAGTTGTCAAAGTTTCGGCACAAGAAAAGAAGAATCCAACTGACGAGTGATAAGTCCAAACATCCTAGAAAGAAAATTGTGAAGAAGAACAATGTTAAAGGGGAAGTGTACATGAATAAACCACATTTATTCTTATGCGAATCAAAGTGAACTACTTTAATTAGTTAATTTCAATGTTTGAAAATATACACTCATGTTTCTTAAAATGAAAGTATAACCCTCAATGAAAGTATAAATAAGTGCTGAAATGTTATGCCAACATGAGGCCTTTGTTTGCCGAGCTAAATAGGCCAGAGTTACCGCCATTTGATTATGATGTAATTGGTGCCACTTGATTTTAGACTGGTCTCCTGTCTAGTCCCAAATCAAAAGATAACAATACTGAAATTAATCACGTGAAAAAGTTTGTGAAAATACAAAACAGAAATTGTAAGCAGCAGGACATATTGATCGCGTATTTTCATTCATAACCAGACCTCAATGAAAATACCAAATATGTATAACAATGATGACATCCCTATGACATCACTATTGGGAAGCGACTTTTTCAAAATGGCGTGTTCACTGACACTAGTATGCTGAATTTTTCGAAGGAAGGTTTCATTGTTTCAAGCAAAGTACTGTAAACGTACTTATTTTCGCGTGGTGCAATTTTCGCGGAATTGACAGTTTAGACTACATCGCGCGGTCAATTATTCGCGCAATCAGTAATTGCCGGAACTGCCAGCTGTCTCTTTGGCCGCCACTAATAGCAGTGAAAACAAACAGAGTGGCTTAACTTGTCAGGCGGCGTTTATTGCTTACTCACAGGAAATCCCTATCTGTGCGATATACTAGTACACAGTAATCCGTTTAATCCCGGAAGAGATGAAAAACACATCAGTCTAATGTTCGAATTCTGGCGATTTGTGAATTAACTTATACTGTATATGAAGCTCTTTGTGATTTCAAACAAGCCGGGTTGTTGTGAATGAGATGATTGAGTGTTAGTGACTATTAAAGCTTCATGATGTACTGGTGAATAAAATCTTAATGAATAAATAAAATACTGCTGTATTATTTCTTTCGAGTCGTTTCACGGTAATCTGTTTTGTATCAAACCATCTGTCATGTGACCAATTTCCATGGTGGCCACAACACACATTGCTGTTTTCGCTAATTCGGCAATGGGATTTGGCTCATTATTTAATTATGTTTTGGGAAATCCATTACAGCGACAGTTAAGTATGATCAGTCGTCATTTTAAGATTCCCGTTGATTTCTGTCTTCAAACGTGATGTGTTATGGTAACAACTCAGGGGCGAGCGTGGCTAGACTGAATGAATGACAGGTTTATTCGCGGTACATAAATTTTCTCGCTAAAATGTTTTGTAAAAGCGAAAAGCGCGAAAATAAAACCTGCGCGAAATATAATAAGTTTACAGTATATGCATAAATGTGACATGTAAGTAGTCCAAAACATTCTGACTGTCTGCTGGTTGTTATTTTCTTTTTGTTTTCATTGTGACCAAGGGAAATAGTCTTAAATTAAGAGAAGTACCATCATCGTTGTTTCCGAGTTTGCGTCAGTCAAAAAGTCATGGCGTCACGCTTTCAGAAACTATAATATGTTGTGATGAATCTAGAAAATCATTGGAATACACCTATTTTATTTAACTATCGCTTGCTACGACACCTTTCCCATGCATGTTCTAAAACTAATGAGCAAGTGTATGCAACAAGTAGGCGAATGGATACACAGTGTAAAATCTGAGATTGGCTTTGTTTACAGAATTCAAAACAGCAAATTGCATTTATCTTCGTGATGTATTTGGATATGGTATCGATCTCAAAGTGAAGGTGGAAGAGGAGGGACATTAAGTAACAAACGTAGAATGCCGGCACATTCACCGATGGCAAGCTAGATGTAGTGCATATACGTGGAAAAAAAGATACTGTTGGAAAGGCGACCGCCTCAGGTTGAATGTTATACAATTTGGCTACATGGTCACACTTTTAGTACAATGTAAACCTTTTTTCAAACTGCAACGTCATTACAGTGTAGAAATGAGCACATGGCCAACTGACGGCTAGGCAACAGGTGGATTAAAACACTAGCCTGCACATCGAGACACCAGAACCACACCTATACCTGCACCACGTGAAATGGATCTAATAACGAGGTCATTTGTTAATCGTTTGGGCACCAATGACATCATTTCCAAGGGACATAAGCCATGGTGTGTTTATTGTGGACATAGAACTCTCGGTACATGTTGAAAATATGAATTGATATAATGCAAAAAATATATTAGTTGCTTCTGATATATGTATGGGTTTGGATATAAAACTACTTGATAAACACTTGTTATGATGAAAAAGTGCAAGACAAAAAGGTTAATTTTCGTGTACACTTGCCCTTTACAATAGGGTCACATTTTACGGAAAATATGTAACTTAAAAAGGAAGAGCAGTCTGAATAGAAGTAACCCACACAGTCCGTAACATGTATAAAACTAATTGTGATGACAATACAATGAAAGTACTATAAGCACACCTATTGAGTTTCTGTGTGAGGCAGCATCAGGTGCACTTGTAAGTGGGGACAGCACCTTGGCCAACATTGCCAGTAGAGATTCCATAATGCTGACAGAGCTGGGACCACTCAAGGACTTCTGGCCAAGGGCACTCAGCAACACAAATACTCTACAAAATAGAATCACATCTTCACAGTACTTAACTGAAGCAATGAATATCATTTACATAGAAAATAAAATAAGGTATTCACCGAGCATATTAATTAACACTATGAAACCATTAAACCAAACAACAAAATGAGACTGTTACAAAACCTAACAAGCCAAAAAAATGTTAGCAAGATTCACTAATAACCCCTACGGTTACTTACAACTTCAGCTGAACAACAAATAATGATCATTTTTGACACAAATACAAGATCTGTATCAGACTTTGCAAAGCACTTTTCTTTTAAACAAAGAAGCCATTACTCGAAACAATCCATTATATGATTGTAAATTTATTGACTTTCCCCCCAATTTCAAGAGATGGAGGAGTAAGAGGAAGAGGGAAGAGGAGGAGTAAGGGGGTAGAGGGTTGAATTATTGGATCGCACCCCTTATATAGATATGCAGGGTCATCTCCAAATGTGAAAAATATCCATTGAAATGTAACCAAGATACTGGATGTACAAAACTTCCATTAGATGGGTTTTTTTCAAAGTTCAAAATATATTATTTGACACAACTCTTTCAAAAACTTGAAAATTGGATCAAAACTTTTCCCTGCACCTCTTTTTAGTCTCTGAAACAGTTTTCCAAATTTGAAAACATGTTGATCAATACTTTTCAATTATTATTGGTTGAACAAACTTTCAAACAAAGTTCAAATTTTTCAAATCATCTAATTATTAAAAAAAATAAAATACTAGGGCTGTAATGAATACACTATGTTGCGAATATGATACGTATCACGAATATTAGGTAACGAATACGAATAATTATTCATGAATACAATATTGTAGTTAAATGATTGATGCACAATATTGAATGCCAATGTTGACTGTGTTAATTTGTCTCAGCAATAACCAGTCATCTCATGACACTCAAATTTTGTATGTAATAGTTATAGTTGACAGTAACATGTGCAGCCTTGGCAAACTAACATGACTTGGGCTACTACAAGGCTAGTACATATTGCATTCTTGCATATCTCGTTTTGAAAAAGGACATAGGGTTCAAGTAAAACACACTCCTTTATAAAAATTGTAAATATTCATGAATATTCGGTTCTTATGACCACGAATAACGAATTGAATTCATGAAGGGCTACGGTTCGATTCACCGAATATGCGAGTGAATCGTTACAGCCTTATAAAATACCTATCAAATTTTGCACTGCACTTCATCTTTAGACAAAGAAGGTGGTCCCACAAATTTGAAAACAATCTAACAATAGTTATTGGTTGAACCGACAGACGGACAGATGAAATTCCATGGAATAACAATATACAATATAAACAAATAACAAACACTACCAGATCTTCTGTTACTAAAACCACCAACACTAGATACTTAAGAAGTACATTTCACTCTACCCCCATGTACAGTGTAATAAAGTACACTTTTGCCCTAAACTATTATAGTTAAGTACAAGGACGCTTTTAGCAAAGCATCTTATAAAAGGTCCTTACATATTCATTAGTGCCAAGAAATAATCCTTTCACAATATTCGAAGGTTATTTCAGTATAAAAAGTTCAACTGAAAGAAAAAGTCAACATACCTGTCTTGAGGAAATATTTGAGTATATTCAGAATTGAAGAATTCCTGAAGCATATTTCCCAAGAAAGTTCCCCACCATGTCTGACTGCCACAGATCCTAGTCAGTAGTAAACCTGTGCTGACTTGGATACGCCTGCTTCCCAACAGACATAAGTTCTTAAAGAGAGTCTCACTTGTCTGTGGTGTAAGTGCCATGTACAGAGACAAGGGTGGTTGTGGAATTGTTGGGGTGCTTGTACTCATGCTCAGCAGGGTATCAAGCAGGTTCTCCAACATCACTCTAAGCTTGTCTGTTGATGTTTGCCCGAAGCAGATTATTCATATTCACATTTTCCTCATATTCTCTACCTTTGATACCAAGTGCTCTTTTCAGACGGACAATTGCTCTTTGAGCAAGGTTCAGCTGCAGCTGTAGCTGTAGGCAGTCATTATATGTCTGAATGATACTATTGTCTTCATCATTTTTCTTGGTTTTCTTCAAATAGTATTCAACATGTGATGCTGGGAACTGCATACTATCCACTGCACTGAGAAGGGACTCCAGGCGAGTTTTAGTTAGACTGTATCTGCACTGAAGATCTTCTTGAAGTGACATGAAGAGTCCAAGCTGTGACAACAACTGGGACTGGCCCTGAACTTCCAGTTGAGCTGCAGAATGACTGCATGAGGGAGCACTCTGGTCCTCCACATATTCCTTCCATTCCCATGGTAGAATATAACAATGACCATAGAAAGCACCTATAGGGATCCGCGAACGTGTTGTTCCAGCACCATATCTTCCTACAGTTGTAATCTGGAAAAAAACCAACTGTGTCATTATTGCGTAACTTTTAAGTTAAAGATCAATGAAATAAACTGATGTGGATGCAACAACTTTTTTAATAACACAAAATAATCCCACCTGGACTGATATCAGGTATTACCAAAAACCTTACATAATATCCCATTATTACTGCTGTCAAAGACACACAACAAACTTTTCCATGTGGATCATATTCACACATAAAGTGTAAATACTATCCAGTAAACCTGTTGTAAATAAATACGTAAAACTGACATGGTCTCCTCTTCATACAATTGACTATGTTGGCTCAGTTGAACTCCAGTTTCTGGCTATTCCGAACAAATGGTGTGCTTAGTTGTGGCTAAAGTACTCTGCTGGATTGTCTTTAAATATTACTTTATATTTATCCTGACTCATACTAATTTCTTGGCCCTTCCTTTTGCCTGAGGTATTGTGGAATCTTTCAGTGTCATGTGCACCAATAATAGAAAAATATTTAAAATTAACACACCCCTCTCCAGCACATGCACATCCACTCCCATATGACTACCTGTGACTCATCACTTTCTACCTAAGTTGCACCCTTAAGGCCAAAAGTAAACCAAATTCAGGGTAGAGTGGAAATGGTTGGGGTGTGTATGAGTCAGGATAAGTATAAAATATTATTTTTACTCTAAAAATAGACACATTTTCTCCTATCCTAACTTATAGCAATTGCTTAATTCGACAGAATTTGAACTAATGATCTGTTCAGATAACCCCTTGGGAAGGTGAATTCTGTGACACTACCTCCTTTTTTGGAGAAAAAGTTGTAAATGTATGATTTGATAGACTTGTATCAAATTGGATTTTTGCATGTTTAAGGACAATCCATATGTTTAAATCAGGTATCACCCATTCTGAAGTACATAGTTAAACAGGTACATGGACTCTCAGTCATTGGTTGTTTGACAGTAACCTGACTTCTACGAGTCTACAGAAGAGTTACTATCTTCTCATAGTGCCAGTTGTTGTGCTACTACTAATGGACAAAACTAATGGATGCAAAATCTCTCAGATAATTGTTAGCAAAGAGGTATCCGATCTCCAGAAACAGCCTTCCATAACAGGTGTGATTGAGCAGTTACCATGCGTCGCTAACATAAATGCTATGACTCTGACTTCGTGAGGATTAAAAGGAGGGTCTAATTCTGCTGCTTTGCATGTTCTGAGGACTAGTGCTCTCATCCAGAAGGTTCTTTGCAATGAAGTCCCATCTCAAACCATGCATGGGTACCAGTATCAAATCTAGTTCTACTGAAGTTAATCGCATGAATCTTCTTGAATGACTTTCAGGCTGCTGTTGCTAATGCCAGGAAACACAGTCTTCTGAGTAGATAACTCAAACTCTGCCTGCTATGAAGGTTATGTTGTAAGACTATACTTAGATCCTATGCCATTGCTCTGCGGCACGTGTGTGTTCTGGTAACATAACACAGAAAGTTTCCAAAATATCTTGGGCAAAGGGAGGGACAATAGGTGATGGAAATATTTCATGATTTTTACATGACTACCAAACATTTGGCCAGTCAAATACTGGTGAAAATTGACTTCAACCAATGGCTAAAATTGACTTGTAATAAAGCAAATGACAATTATGCTTTAAGAGGAAGTTTCAATCTCAATGGTTGCATATAGAAACAGCTGTCACGATCAGGGATCTGAGAAAGAAATAAGGAAATTAGATTTTGTTCAGTAATAACTGTATGATTGGTAATACCGGACACTGATCCAGAACAAACATTGTCACTAAGGTGACATAATCCCCCATCGCAAATTATCAAATCAAACTTTTAAAGCAATGAAAGTGAAGGTTTTAGTTTAAGATGAAGTTAAACGTCAACAAAAGCATGACCGTCAACCTACACCTTCCCTAGATGAAGATTGGTGTCAAACATGAAGAAAATCCAGTGAATTGTTCTTGAGGTATCTCGCTAACAAGCTTAACACGCAGGTTAACATGGTGAAATCTCCAAAGTGTTGCTGTGACCTTGAAAACTGCATAAGGTCACCAAAATCAACTGGGCCCTGGGCCTTCCCTTGATGAAGCTTGATGTCAAATATGAAGAAAATCAAGTGATTGGTTCTTGAGATATCTCACTGACAAGCTAAACATGCAGGTTAACATGTTGAAATCTTGTTAACATGCTGAAGTGTCGCCGTGACCTTGAAAACAAAGTGAAGGTCACAAAAATGAATGGGCACTGCGCCTTCCCAAGATGAAGCTTGGTGTCAAATATGAAGAAAATACAGTGAACAGTTCTTGAGGTATCTCTCTGACAAGCTTACGTGCAGGTTAACATGCATAAATTTTCAAAGTGTCACTGTGACCTTGACAATAAGTGAAGGTCACCAACTCGACTGGGCCCTGTGTCTTCCCTAGATGAACCTTGGTGTCGAATATGAAGAAAATCCAGTGAACGGTTCTTAAGATATCTCGCTGACACAGGTAAAACGTTAAAGTCCCCTTGTGACCTTGAAATGAAGATCAAGGTCACCAAATGATTGGGACCTTTTGCATACTGTGATGAACCTAGGTACCAAATATGAAAAGATTCTAGTGAACTGTTCTTAAGATATTCCAATTTGTACGTACGTACATACTGACGGAGCCTAAGAATATATCCCCCACTTCGCGCTTAACATGCGGTGGGGTATAAATACATGTAAGTCAGCACTTGCAATTTATCAAAACCTTTTTTTTTTTACTTTTAAGGACATCCAGACATCATTAAGTCTCATATAATATCCTGGTAAAAATGCTGCTTACCTTCAGATAGCGACAGATGGGTGGAGGCATGATATTGTTCATGACAAGAGTTCTTAATCCTATGTCTGAAGCCACAACTAGTCTCTGTCCATCAACCTCTTCTCCTTGTATCCAAACATCAATAGAGAGTGAAGCAAGGTCAACACAGGCCGGTATTATTACATCAGTGAGAAGAATTGGCTTTCCAAAGTCAAGTGTCACAAAACGCCTTGCACCTGAGTACCAGAACAAAATCATGACAAGGACAAAAAAATACATTCTCATGCTACATACATCAACAGACATGACACACATTCTTTTTCAATAAATGTAGGGATTCGATTAGATTAGCAGGGTAAAGACAATGGCTTGATAACATAGGGTGATTATTTGTCAGCAGATGCGTTTACCTGAGTGCATTCTTTCTATGACAAGGACCTGAGGCGGAGGTGGCTGCAACAGAGCCTGGTTTTGGGGAAAAGCAAATGAAGCTTTCTGTGTCTGCTGCTGGATCTGTGATGTGGATGGTTGGCCGGAACCACCTGCTAGTGAAAGTGATATTGTTTGTGGGGCAACTGTTTGTTGCTGTTGTTGTTGCTGTTGCTTGCTGATATCACTCTCACCACTCATCAGCTAAAACACAACAATATTCAGATGAAGGCCAATTACCATGAATATCAAATGATATTTGGTAGACAGTACATTTATCACTTCACCTTATCATGGTTTTGGGGGAAAGGAAACTACTGTTTTCTGTTGTGATGGTTCAACTTTATATCACCAAAGACAAAATTGAAGACTGATGTCAATCTCTTTAGGTACAAACCAGCACATAAATACCACAAAAGCTGCAACATGAAATGGCCATGTTGTCATATTGGAAATCTGGCTGCTACTTTTAGTGTCACCTTAGATGGGATGACTCAAACAAAGTTTTAGCTCCACAGAACATGTAGTTTCCGAGGGGATGTTAAAAAAGGAAAAGTTAACACCAGGACAGAAAATCAGGCAGATGGACAGACATACTGGAAATTCCAATTACATAAACAACCTGTTAGAGTAGGTAGTGCAGTTTTAATCACTCAAAACCATGGGGACACTGAAAGACAAATGGTCGAACTATCAAACCATGTTGGCCAACCTATTCGATTGCTGGATGCCAGGTGAACCTAAGTAAGATTCATAAATCAAGGACAGTGATTGCATGGTTTTCATATTTAGCCAGTAAGTATAATTTAACTGAACAGGTAAAATTATCTGAGAAACTACTAGTCATGACTTATGCTAATTTGTCTTTGCTAAAGGATACCATTAACAGGAGAGAAGAGGACCTGCAATATTATCCTCCAATACACATAGTAAAAGTAATTGGGTCTGATTGGGTAATTGGTTGTATGTGCAGTGTACAAAGCATTAACTGACAATGACATTTATCAAGTGGGGAATACAATTTGAATTTCTATATGTAAATATTTAATAATGCAAAAATACCCAGATTGTTATGTCAATGTAAAGTGAATATTTCCCATCAATGATGCATGTTGAGGCATGTATTACCTTGGAAACTGATGGTGGTGCCACGACCTGTACATGCCATGTTTCATTTGGAGGTGTAACAGATGGAGTCATTAAGTTGGGTGTAGTTTTCGGTGTTGGTGGAAAGAGTTCTGGAGCTTTGGTTACTTTCTTTCCTGGGGTATGGATAGCTTCTGTGATGGCTTGTTCAAGCTGCTTGTAACTGGGATGCAACTGTTTGGCATATATCTGGGCAAGTTTCTTGAGAGAGTCTGCCATTGCCATTCCAGTCATGCCAGAACCACCACTGATGATTGGTGGAGGGTTTTCACCAAAGTTTATTGTGCCTGACATGCCTAAAGGTGCAGTGGATGGGAGTACGTATTACCATTGGCATCCAATCTTTCAACTCTGGTGCCATCACTGGTAGCATGGCAAGTAAAATGAAGTGGTTCTGCCTCTAACAATCCCAAGACATGATTACGTGCATAATCCACAGGTGATTTTCCAGACTTGTCTTGTGAAGAATTTAAACACAACATCTCATAAAGATCTGGCTCATCCTGTTGCCGAGTAGCCTCTAGGGCTGCTTGTACTGTAGGTGTTGTTGACATGGACTGTGCACTGATATTGTTAGCCTTAGCAATTTGAAATGCACTGGGTTTGATGGTGTTCTTCAGGCTTTGAGGATTCTCAAGGTCAAAGAGATCTGGTTCCAAGGGATGACCATACAACCCGATCTGTTAGTAAAACAAAACATCTTAATACTGTAAATCGACAAAGTTCCCCGTCGTCAATGTTTTGCGTGATCAACAACCCAGCCAGTTCTACGCCGTGATTGTTTTGCGAGTCCTCCTCTTGTAAAAACAAGTCGAATTGTTGACAATACATCGTATCGCTTCACGTGAACGAACATACAAGAAAAGACCAAAGACGCGTCAAATTTGCAATCAAACATCGCTAGAAAAGATTACTTACCTATTCAGTTCTAACTTGTTTTTGCTAGGCATTGTCTTATATGCAGGTATTAAGATTACCGTGTGTAATTGTCTCGTTTACAACGCCGGAAATAGCAATCAGCTGTGCAGTGCACACGTTCCCCTACCGGTGATTTAGTTAAAACGTACCCGATAATATACCGAGATGAATTGTGATGCAGTGATCTTAAAAAAGATAGTATCTGAAACTATTGTTTTATACAGAGAAATATATTCTAGTATTGTGTCATTTTCATTGCAGGTTGTGCTCCATAAATGTAAAATATTTATAATCATAACTAAGGTTATGCGACAGTTTTTGGTGTATTGACGGATAGTTTTTATGCATGGAACAATTTAACCTGTCACCGATGAGATTTCGCACGATGTCGCTATTTCCACTGTGAAAGCAGTTTGTTGAAATGTGATCGTCCAGATACACTAATTATGACTTCTGGCGAAACAAAATATGTATGCGTATCCATTTACTGTCAATTACACTTTATTTCGAGACGTGAGTAGACACAATATGTTAGTGATTGCTGTGAAGTAAGTACATTGTGTTAAGGAATATTACCTGTAGGCAAACATCTGGACTTCTTGACATCGTTTGATCACGTAATTTACATGGACCGGGAATAATTGCTTAAGAAAATGAGAGACGTCATTACGCCCGGCGTTCATTTGCAATACCAGCAAAACTTTCCTGCCCGCAAAACTTTGTCGATTTACAGTATACCAAATTCTTCACAAAATATATATGGAATGATAATATGGCTAAACATAAAGCATCTGTCATCAGATACATAATAAAGAATAGTTTTCATAGCCAGTCACTTGTGACTAACAGAGTTAATAACACTAATTACATTTTATTTCACTGAATTATGATCTTAAATGAAACATGACACACAGAGTGCATTTACTATAGCAAAGGATGAGTAAGCAAAATAGCAAATATACAGATTTCTCTTACCTTGCTTTTAGCAGAGCATGTAATGGAACTGCTCTCTCTTGATAATGCTTAGCAATTGCACATAAGAGTTCTGTACATGTCTTAGCAACAGTGTTGATATCCATACATTTGACATGGTTTAACACTGTAAAGAACCACTTCATGGCCCCGGCTGATGTGGCACATGGGAGTAAAGGCAAGCAGCTGATCATCGCTTGCAGCATGAGGTAACTGAAGGCTGGGGCCAGGTCAGGATCTGATGATACTTTAGCATACCTGACAATCATTTGGAAACTCTTAGGATACATCATGAAACTGTTTCATCAAGTTACTGGTGGGCATTACCAGGACAATAACTTTACACAAGGAGAAGCAATTAGAAAGAAAACATGTGAAAAACTTACTGAAGAGAAACTTCCTGCCAATTTACAAGTCAAATTAAAAAAATAAAATAAAAGATAATACATATGTGAAATAACAGATGTTCACTGATAATTATAACTTTTTCATACCAACAGAGTTGAACGTATTTTCATACTCACTCCAGTAGTAGCGCAAGTAACCGTGAACACTTGTGAGCTGTTGTTCTTGTTCCATCTATTAGACATGCCTTCACAATTTCCCTCAAATGTTGTTGCACAACTACAACCAGACAGCGACTGTGCTTCCTTCAACATATACATGTTAAATATATAAATGTTCTGCATTCAAAGGAAACGTAGTATTACAAAACTACTACAGGTCATTTCAATTGTACACAGAGTTGATAGAGTTATTATAGGATATTTATATAGCGCACATATCCACGCAACTAGTGCATGCTCAAGGCGCTGGCATTTTTTCCCTCGATCATTGGATGTCAATCTCAACGGCAAATGCTCTTATCAATCTCAACTCCCTGCGGAGTATACAACTCTTGCAGTCACTAGGCGCACCAAATTATTTTGGCTTTCTCATCCTAACGAGGTACCCATTCACAGCTGTGTGGACTGGGACACACAGTCACAGTACTTTGTCCAAGTTCACTGCAACTAGGTGTTTGCATGCATTCATGTGGCCACCATCTGGTCATTTACCAACGGATTCATGGGTTCTTTTAAGTGCACAGGGTTGTGTACTGTACACTAGGGGTTGTGACTACACTGAAAGAGTCTGCACACAAAGTTGACTCCAAGGTTTTTACACCCGGTCACAGGTGGACTCGATCCCAAAACCTCAACCTCACTGGATCACTAGCCTGGCGCCTTAGCCAGCTCACCAACCAAACCCTAGAGTTGGCAAAAACATTAACTTTAAAGTAAAACATGGTAGTTTTACACTGCAGTAAAGCCTGGTACATGACTTGATTTTGAAGTAAAACCCGCCATGGGGATAAAGTGTTAAATGTCCCAAAGTAAACTTAGTAAAATCTAAATATTTTTTATATTTGTATACTTATCCAGCACTACTTACTTTCTGCACTTATTGCTTAAAACTCGAAACGTGGCTGTGCCAGACGATTGATGTTGAAAAGCGTAGACTGAGATCACTTCCTGGTCTCGGGTAAACATCCGTCTGTGCACCCATCACCGGAAGGTGACATCAGCCACCTCAGATTATTATAAAGCGCACATATCCACGCAACTAGTGCATGCTCAAGGCCCTGGCATTGGTCGAAAAACCGGCGTGGCACCTAAAGCGGACAGCGTTTGACGATCAGGCAGTGGTAATATGCATATATAAGACACGTAGTCTTAAATGGTATATACCAAACGATTTTTATAGCGTTATAAGCTTTAGGGAAATGCAGTAAAAAGCAGTGACTCGAGTTAACCCAAGTGTTACTGCTTAACTGACAGACCCAGTTATTCCAGAACAACTCTCTTCCCACAAGGCGCCGGCGTGCTTCATGGGAACAAAAAGCATGGTGGAAGGTATCTTCGTTGCACCTGGAACAATAGTCAACAAACAGTGGCTATCTCTCAGTGGTAATTCGCATATAAGACAGGTAGGCTTAAATGGAAAGACCACGCGATTTTTAAAGCGAGATTAGCTTTAGGGGAAATGCAGTAAAAAGTATTCACTTGAGTTTTTCCAAATGTTACTCCTTAACTGACATACCTAGTTGTTTCCCTCGGAACAACTCTTTTCCCACACGGCGTCATCGTGCTTCTTGGGAAGAAATATCATGAAGGAAGGCACCTTCGTGGAATCTGGAAGAAAGGTTGGCAGAGAGGGATTATATCTCAGTGGCAATTCGCATATAAGCCATGTACGCTTAAATGGAAAAAGACCACGCGGTTTTAAAGCGTTATTAGCTTTAGGGAATGCAGTAAAAAGCATGGACTTGAATCTATTCAAGCGTGACTCCTTAACTGACATACCCAGTTGTTTTTCTCAAAACAACTCATTCCCCACACGACATCGTCATGCTTCGTGGCGAACAACAATGAGGTGATATCCGTCCGGGGTTTGGTGAAGTGCTGGTCTGGCACCAATGGTCCGAAGCTTTGGACACATGTGGTGTGGATACTGATTGGCGAAGACTGTGTATGACATCTAGAAACACTCATGCATCATCAATGCTACTGTACAGTTACTGTGAAGTGCCATAGTCCAGGCAAGTGTACGAAGTACATGAGGATGGCGTAGCTGAGGGGAAACCAGACCAGCCACATTATCCGCATGAATAATGGTAGTCCGTATCCACAAAACACTCGTGGTTTTGCTTACATGTCTCTGACGGCTTGGGTGCGCTTAATGTACAAACTGAGTACATCAGCTAAACACAAAAGTAACACAGGAATGTCGTCAACGCCGACAACAGACGATAAAGGCGAAAGAGAGAACTATCGATCATTTCGCGCTGGCAACTGGGTTATAGTGATGAAATCCCAATCAAATACCCAGAGGCACAGAACCAAGACGGTGTCGTTTAAACTTGACCCAATTAACACCAAGCGCATGACCCTTGTCGCTATCGCTGTGCAAGTCTGCAAGGGAAGTGTTCGTGAGTGGCTTGCAAGACATAACGTGTAGGCGGTCCAAGACCGTGTTGAGATTCCTGGCGGGTGGTCAAATCTGCAGCCTGGGTACTCAAGCGCTAAACAAGCGAAGCATGGACGGTAGCTCCTGTCAATGGGGACTGCTAAAACGAAGAGAATAGCCACTAATAAAAGTGGCAACCATGCCCCTCTTGAAACGCCTTCCCTGTACAAATACAGCAGGGATCCTGCTTCGCGGCAACACAACTGCTCGAACGACTGCCCCTTGTTATACATGTACCTAATGGAAGTCCAATGTTCATTAGCAAAGCAGTAGCAATGATCTGGCTGAAAAGCAACTGGTGCAGAATGCCGCCTGAAGATGCAGTGTGTTAATTGAACCGTTCTGGCGTGGGATGAGGATGCACTAGGATGTTTCCACATCTGGCTAGTTGAAGAGGAGCTCTTGACGCTTGAAACCAACCTCTGGTTGGTCATCTGGGACCAACTAAATTTAGTCCAAGTCAAGTTGTTAATTCTTGATTGTGACTAAAACATTTGGAAGCAAGACCGGAGGAAACGTATTTTGCGTGAAGCGCCCCCAGTGTTGATGTGAGACTTGTCACCACGTCTCCTACCACGCACCGGCGCCTGATTCCAAGCCCACCTAACAGTGTGGCATCGAGGCTATAGTAGGTACTGGATTCATGTGATGGGGGATGTTTGACTTGCTGGAAGGCCGTCAACGCTATCTCCCTGTAAGTAAAGTCACACACTGTTCGATAGACATCCTTGAACTCGTTAATAAAGATGGCAGTCGAGGACTAGGATTGGTGAAATAGATTCCTCGGAAGCTTTGAATCCTAACCGGAAAATCCTTGATCTCAAATAACACCTGCGTTGGCGAGAACTGCCTTAAGTGTTCACCAAGGACAGTGAGGACCATCCACTACCAAGCCATCATGTATATAGAAGAGAGGTGACGATCCTGTACGGATTCATCTCTGTCAGGTCTTTTGAGAGAGTGTTAATAGCCGAAGCTAAGTTGAGATAGGAAGGAGCATCCGTGTGGATTCCAAATCAAGGGCCGTCATCCCTTGAGTCTCGTGCCTTGTAAGAAGAAACACTGTCACGCGCTTAATTTCCTCATCCACCCGGCTGCCCTATTGATGAATTCAAGACAAGGGAGTGCGTAAAAGCCACGCCCGGTATAGGTACCATATTAGTTGAAGTCTTCGAGGGCAAGATGTGTCCGTCTGCTGAGGTAGAGGTCAGCGGACAACAGTGGCGCAACCAACAGCTGCCGAACTCTTGAAGATGTGGAGGCGCTGACGCAGTATGTTACTTCATACAGATGCTCAATCTGGTATAGGCGCTGGAGTGAGGGAGTGAGTGAGTATGATTTTATAGGCCACTCACTATGATGTTATAGGCGCTAGATCCAGTAGAGCCGCCGTACAGGCGCTGGATCTGGTAGAACGCTGTATATGGTAGAAAAACCGAACAGGCGTTTGAGTGAGTGAGGATGGTTTGATAGGCGCCGTATCTGGTAGAATTGCCGGACAGCCGCTGGAGTGAGTGAGTGAGTGAGTATAGAGTTGTAGGCGCCATACAAGCACAGGATCTGGTAGAAACGCCGGACAGGCGTTGGAGTGTGAGGATGGTTTTATAGGCGCCATACAAGCGCTGGATCTGGTAGAAACGCCAGACAGGCACTGGAGGGTGTATGGTTTATAGGCGTCATACAAGCGCTGGATCTGGTAGAAACGCCATACAGGCGCTGGAGGGAGTAAGTATGGCTTTACAAGCTCCGTACAGGTGCTGGGACAGGTAAATGCATCATACATTCCCTGTAGACAGGAACGACGCTGGAACATGTTGGTGTTGCGACGGAGGCGCTAACACCGACTGCAGAACGCTGAGGTCGTAGTCGATGTGGCAGAAGCACCGTATAGGCGCTGCAGTGATGAAACCAGACTGCCCTGCTAACTAGGCCAAGTCAAATGGCAGTCGAAACATCCAGTGACTGCTGAGCACGCGACGCATGCATCTGAGACGTCAGGAGTAAGACGTCTGCCAAGGACACACTGGAAACAGCAACCTGGAGAAAGGAGACGGAGCGCGCCAGACGCCCTAGAGCTAGAGGACATCAGTGTTGTCGCAAGTATCTGGATGCTTGTCACAGGCGACGTCGGTGTTGGACATGGCGCTTCAAAAAAAAAAAAGGTGTTATATTAATTAAGTAAGCGCAACTAGCACATTTCTTGTGTGAAAAAATGGGGAAAAACACGGAAAAGTGCAATTCACACAGTGTGAATGAGGGCACTTATGAGATACCCTGCCTTACAAACTATACAGCGTGTGCCGTATAGAAACTGCAACATAGCAGAAAACCCCAGCAAACACACGGTGAAAAACATTACAATAGTAATGGGGGACACACGGTGAAACAATATAATAGTAACGGGGTAGAACAGCATAAGTGAGAACAACGTCTCACAAAATACTGACATAAACTGGAGACCAGAATTAAGGCTTAATAATAATATACGATGATAGTATAACATATAAGCATGAGCAAAGAACAAGCCACTACGAATACATCGAAGCCATGTGTTGAATATGGCGAATGTCTGAATGGCGAAGTGACTGATAATAGTGATGAAACTACCGTGTTTATCATAAACACCATCACTACAACAGTACTACGAAAAACGAAACAGAAAGGTAATACCTACACTCTCTGAAGAACAAAGGAAAGTACCCAAAAGACAGTTTTTTATCAATAAACACAAATTCAAAGGATACAAAACAGTCGAGGTGGCAAACCACACGTCTTGCGAGGCGTGCGAAAGGCAATAATCTGAGGTGGCTGACGTCACCTTCCGGTGATGGGTGCACAGACGGATGTTTACCTGAGACCAGGAAGTGATCGCAGTCTACGCTTTTCAACATCAATCGTCTGGAACAGCCACATTTCGGGCCGTAAGCAATAAGTGCAGGAAGTAAGTAGTGCAGGATTAGTTAAAAATTAGTAAATTCAAAAAGACAGTAAAAATAGCGCTGTGATACTGAAGTTCAACTTGGTCTGTAGTCAACAGTCTAAACTGAAATCTAATAATATATATTAAAAACTGAGAAATTGAATAAAATATGTGATCACAAGGATAAGCATTCATGACAAAATCTTTATTCCTCAGTCCGGAAACTTCTGTAAAGATGTTTACACAGAAAAATACACCTTTTGAGAGAATCTGAATGATCAAAATATAAGGTTAAAAGTTCAAATATTCAGATATTGCAAATCTCAAAATCCCTTAGGGAAAAGAAAATTGACATTAGCAGGCAGCAGGTGGGAGGGGGGATTGGATTTTTTGTATGGATTGTTTTCCTATAAGCTACATACTATGAGCACAAACCTATACCTTACAGTCAGTATGGTTTTACACAACTTTTAGCAATAGTCCAGTAATACCCATTGTACCCACATGAGGAATATGACCCGGAACTTCAGTGTGACAAGCGAACACTTTAACCACTGGGCTTCCCCACCACCACCACCCTTTTCTTTACCAGAAGGAATTCATGCGACAATGTACTTTTTCAAATGTCTGCAGTGTAACTATTATTTTCAAGCATTTTCTGAGAAAAAATATAGGCCATTTTTCAAACAATTCACATTTTACCAGACATATTATCTATCATTATAAAGTGTAATTATTAAAAGTGTGTAACAATTTTCTCAATAAAATTTAGCACATTAACTTCTTTGTTCTAGTTGAAAATGCACAGAACATATTGGTTGAAAAAACACATTGTGCTAACCCATGGAGTATTTTTATTGATTTGGGTGACCATTCAGCCTCCCCTTAAGTGTATTTTGCATACCTCTTGATAGGATCATTCATCTGTATTGCAGTTATCCAAGTCAGCACATCTAGTGCTATGTTCTGAGCATGTTCAGTACCAATCCCAACCAATTCATTTTCACTCGGAAGAGCAACTAATTTCAACAGTCTTTCATGAAAGCTCTGCATTTCAATCATTGCATTTCTTTGGGGCCTCTCGCGTGGAATGTTTGTTCTTTTCATTTTTCGTACTGTCAATGAAATTTCTTGAATCCAATCACAGCCTTTCACATCAGTGAGTTTTTGTTTATGTGGTGCTGTAGCTGCTAGTCTCTCTGCAACACTGGCTCCAGGCATGTAGGGCACATTCTCAAACAAAGACTTAATTGTCTTCTGCTTTGAGGAGTTAGAAGTAGACGCAACTGGAGTTGACATCTTCTTTTTAGTCTCCTGGAAGAGATGATAGAATTGGTAAAACTAGAGTCATCACAAGATGACAAATCCCTCTAGCCCCCACAAACTTGAAAGTAATCATCTGACAATTACTTAAAGTCCATGATGAGAGATGAGAGAATTTCTGTCTAAACTGTTCGTTCGTATACAAGAGTAGTTATTGAGCTATCAAAACAATAACATGGAATTGGGATTCATAACTTTCATCCCCCCTTCCCCTACTCCAGAAAATGAATTCATGAAACAAAAAGGACAACAGAGAACCATGTTATACTTATCTGCAATAACAACCTGACTAGGAAAATAGGAAAAATGATTCTAACCAATGTTTTTCTATGATTGCTCATTGGTAATGAACCAATTATCAATTGTGAGATGGCAACCAATTCCCAACACTAATACTTAGTACTCTATGAATTATGTATTCTTCTACTCATCTAATAGGATACTAATATGTTTATGAGTGAGTGAGTGAGTGAGTGAGTGAGTATGAGCCGCTTTTAGCAATATTCCAGCAATATCACGGCAGGGGAAACAAGAAATGGGCTTCACACATTGTACCCATGTGGGGAATCAAACCCGGGTCTTCGGAGTGACGAGCAAACACTTTAACCACTAGGCTACCCCACCGCCCCTGTTTATGAGGACTTCATGGTGTCCAGTTGCTATAAAGTGAAGAAATGTGAAATGCATTGTTATGTCCTGTTCAAGATTATTGCACTTACATTTTCCAGTTTTATAGCACTTTGGACTTTAGGATACTCTGCCACAGTTCACAAAGACAAGTTTCACCTTTCAACACCGTTTGGTATGATGCTACCTCCAGCCTTTCACACTCCTGGCAAACATTCTAGCCACTTGACAGAAATGTTACTGATACCACAGCCATATTTATTGTTTTTTTGATAATGGTATTTACTGGAACAATATATCTCCCATTTCTGTCAAGAATAATATATATTATTGATATTACCTTTGTGAGATTTGAATCCTCTGGTTTGTTTGGGAAACCTTTAATATGCAAGAGAAGTGAGCGTGGCTTAGAGTTAAGCAGCTGGGGGCTAGTGAGAGACACCAGTCCACTATTCCCTGAAAGATCTAAGCAAGCAGAGATTTGAATAGGTCCACAAAGAATCTCTGCATTGTGACTTTCAAGAAACCCTGGATCCAGCACATTGTTGGAGTGTTCCTGTTGTGTCCCTCCACTGGCGAGATTACCAAAGTCCACTTTTTCATCCACTTCAACCTGCACTGACCGAGATCCATGAGATTGTTTACGAATGTTTCCAATGTTCTGCTTCAGGAGGGTCACTTCAATGTTTGGCTGAGTTGTGCACATTGGGTGTACAGTGAACTTGAGGTCTACATGGCCAACACAACAAGGACGAGGAAGTACTATCTCCAGAAGGTGTTCATCCCATGTGTTGCTTGTGCTGAAAATATCATGGTAAACCAACAAATTTCTCACGAAAACAAAGTCTGTTAGTTACATACATAGTTGCCTTTCAGTGCTATGTCAAATTGTCAGCATAACCTAGATATTCCATAATGTTCAACTGCTGGGGGTGCTTCCCTGGCCTTATCTGGTTTTCAAATTACATGTACCTATCTGTATGATGTGTATAATTACTAAGATGTGAAAGGACAGTATGGCAGCAATGTAAGTTCGAAAGAAATCCATGGCTAAAAATGAATCACATGTATGACACAGTTTCTGGGACATAAATATGTAATTTGCACAACACATTCAACAATAGCCAAGTAGTATAGTGATGATGTTTAAAACACAAAACAATATGAATCCTTAAACTTCCAGCACACAGTTATAGTTTAGTTAGTTTGGGGAGCATCTGACAAAGTATTCTTACTTTATTTGCAGCAAATGTTAAGCAAGACATCTATATTTCACATGACAAATTCCAGTCAGAATTCCAAAGCCCTTCATTTATGGTAAAAGTGGATCATTGATCACCCTGGGAATTTTAATAAGAGAATGTTTATCAGTTTTGATCACAATTAAAATAGTTACTGGCAAGAGCAAATCATAATTCCATTCTTAAATTTTCAAGTTTAGTCCTTCATCCAGTTTGGGAAGAGCTGAAAGTTAACAGGACCAATAAAGTTCAATAAATATAGGAGATTATAAAACATTAATGTTCAATTTTCTTAATAGGTACAAAACACAATCTCCTCATTAAATTCACAAATTATCCAGACATGCCAGATTAATGTTTTACTGGGTCTTGTGGCTTCTAATTGACAAACTAAGAAACAAAATTTTGACCTACTGTTATCATAACAAGTAAATATCCCTCATGCAAAGTTGAGATCAGTTTCAGAAGTAATGTAAAAAACAACAACAGTAACACTAGAAAAAGGGATTATGTGAAGGTCAAATAATCATAGCTGCATCCCTTATTTGCTGCAAATAAAATTTCAAATGATATTGCAGGAATGGTTGTGGAATAGACAAATATGACACCATTTTTAATGCTTCTATGTTTACAGTCAAATTTAATCAGAATCATAGCTGAGATCATTAAAATTATCAGTTTCACATTTTTGTCATTTCACAAGAGATGTTGAATTTCTTGGAAATTTGATATTATCAATTGGACTGCTTGTCAATTTGCAACTTGGGATGCAAATTGTATACTCAATGGTACATAAGATGCACAGCTGAACTAGCTGTAAATTGGAAATCAAGGACAGGTAATTTGAGATAATAAGAAGTATCTGTGACTTCTTGGGGTTAACGATCACAACTGGGACAGCAGGCATCTGAGGAAGCCAAGGACTACTGTGGAATTTGGGTATCTTGTCCACTCTATTAAGTTGTATATGTACAAATGGAAATATCACCATTGTCAACCAAGTCATTTATGCGAATAACCACCAAATCAAAGAAATGTTAAACTGGAGGACCTCCAAAGTGGAAATGTCTCAGAGAAACAGGAATTTGAGATAACATTTCAATTGGTACAAGCAGATTCGCATCCTACAGATCTAATGATGTCATGAAATCAACCAGGTAAATGGTGAGACATTACGTCTTGTTGGAATTCTGCTTGTGTATGAGGAATACACTGAAGTAAAAACTTGGCTATTTTATTGCTTGAGGTGCGTCAAGATTCTGCCAAAACTAGCTTGGTTCACTCACTCCTCCATGGAAAAGAGGTGCCGGTGAGGGCCTCATGCCCAAGACAACTGACAGCCATACAAGGCAACTTTCAAATTTCAACCATCTGAAATACCCTTCCTGGAGCTGTTAAAACTGCACATAACTTGCAAGGGAAGTCTTGGGGTTGTTTGGGGTGGCTGGCAGGTACAATAGCATGAAGGTGGAGGAGGTGTCAAACCTGTTGAAGGTGCTGTAGTTGTTATGGGAATAAATGCTCAACTGTAAGGTGTCATGATCAGCTTTGGTTGTGTCTGAAAAGGTGTAACTTCCTTGTCTTGAAGCAAGGCCTGATATGATAAACCAAAAAGGTTAATAACTCTTTTGGAGAGTGGGACCATAAGCAACTTGGCTCACTCACATCTTTATTTTTCTTTTTTTTGGGGGCTTGTATAATCTGGGAAGATGATTCTTGAACATGAATTTGAATTTTGGGGGCAGTATTGTTACAGTTTAACTGGGGTTCTGCAAACAAGAACTTTGTAGTATGTTTCTTGGATACAGAGTCTGTTATGCATATCAGCAGCAAGTATACTACCTGTCAGGGGCTAGCTTCCATGTGCGAGTGTGCTGTGTTGTCTCCCCTTGTTGTTGTAAGTGCTGGGGATGACGTCGCTGCTGTTGCTCTTGCTGTATCTCACTCCAGCATGGAGGTACTGTTGCTGTATAGCGAGGGAATAAATTCTCAAACTGTGTAAGACTGTGAAGTCCTGACAGTGTCTCAGCTGCCAGAGGTTTCTTTGCCAATAGCTCCATTCCTACAAAATACAAGAAAGAAAAGTCAATTTGGCATGTTCAGCAGCTATAATACCATAAAGAGGTAAGCACCCCCACCAGGCACCTATTCAAATGTTTAGGGGGACATATCAATATTATTTCCAAAAGGCAATTCTGCAACTGATATTGATATGATTTAATGCCAAATGTCACTATGCCTAAAAAAATGGTAAATCAAAAAGCTTGTGTCCTTGATGACATTACTTTGTGCAATGTCAAGTTTAAAATCATATATGAAGAATATGATATCTTGCAAGACATGAGAGAAAGTTATAGAGGGCGGAGAAAGTTTGAAAATGGAGAAAACTGAGAGATCAAGTACAATGTACCTGCATGAAAAAGGGCCTATCACTGAAGGTCTTCTGATATGTTACATCTCAGCATTTCACTGACACTGATCATATATATATGCCAGACTGAATGAACATGTCCAGGGATCTTTTTACTTTTTAACATTTAGTAAACTTGTGACGCAATCTGTTCCCCAAAACAAGTCATTCATCCATCACTTGAGCCACAGTCAAAATTACAGAGAAACATATTTCTGACCTCAACTGCAGTAAGATGTACAAGCTGGTGGTTTCACTTCACAAAGCTATGGCTTCAGGTTCGGGGATAGTAAGGGAATAACCATGACTGAATATCTGCAACAATTGTTGGTTATATGTCTTCTTTATGAAGACTAAGGACTTGGAAAGGCACACTAAAACCTTATTGAAGTGAACAAAATATGTTGTTATCATACATGCCGAAGTTCAGCTTCATCAATCTGTCAATTTGAGATATGATTAGAAATAGAAATGCACTTTGAGAGAATTTTAGAATGAGGTCAAAATATGCTCAAACAAACAAATATTTTGGAAAACAGCAAATGTGTGTAGTCAAAATCAAGCATATACCAACTTTCATTACATGTTAAACACAAACAGCTGAGTAATGGCCATAAACGTGTTTTTAGCTGCTGGGGGATCCATATCAAAAATCACATTCAAACTTCTGGAACAAATTGTAGTTGCATCATTTATAGGAATAATGGCTTTGGTGAAAACAATTTGAAATTGAAAAAAGAGTTTTCATTCAAACATCAAGTGCTGTGTAATAGTTAATATAAGAATGTCTTCATTGCTTAATAGAGAAAGGTTGTTGTCATGGGAATTCATTAATCCCATTTATCTTTTCGAAATTGAAGGAGAATACAGGAAAATTGCAATAACTCACTGGGTTAGAGATAAAGTCATCAGAAACATGTACCCAAATTTTTAATGTAAAAGTATTATTAATTATTCTAACAGTTTCTCCTATCTCAGCTTCAGCTATTATGCATATTCCACTTGCAAGTCCGTGAACTCATGTGACCTTTTAATTTTACACATGAGACATCATATGTAACTTCTGTAAGACGGTAATTAGTAAGACTGGGTATTGTGTTGCCTGGGGTTGCACAGCATTATCCAACAATGGAAATAGGCATCACGGATGAGGTAAATAATTTTGGTGGCAGTTTTCGATTGACATAACTGTTACCATAGACCTTGATTTGGTACAAATATAAATCATATCCATTTCATAATATTCCATATATGCTATGTCATTACATGTTTCAGCTTACTGTTAGAGGTATTTTTTCACATAAAATCCAGTTCAATTGTGATGAAATATATATTACCAAAATCAGTAAGAGATTTCACATGAGCTTGAAAATGTTTTGCCATAACATTTGGTACAGTTTTGCGCCCAAAGTACTGCAATCTACCCGGAAAAAAAACGTTATCTGTAAACACAGTGGCAAATCAGGTTTCATTCATTGATTTCCATTTTTTCGAAATACGCGTCGGCATCAGACTCGCTATTTGTCAGTGTTGTGTGCCTTGAAAGTTGTTCTGTATTCTCAATGGCTGACATGAGGTCAGTCTGAGGTTATGACCTAACACCATAACTATTTCCACAAGCTCAAACTAGGGAAATATACATTGTCCTGACTAGCATTTTATAATTCACCAGTTTTCGGGACATAAATTATCTGCATTGCTTATGTTATCACTGCTCGACCAGGCTGGGATCTTGTATGGTGACAAGACTATTTATTAATGAGAACTAGGATCCTATTTTTTTTTCAACAAAAGAATTCCTTGCAGCAGTGTAATTTTTGTAACAGACAATTTCTATTTTCCCTTGTATGAAGCATAATTAGTTTATTTTAGTCACGAATGTGACTGAACTACAGTGGTTCCAATATCAAATCTTACATCATATCTTGCCAACCAACTGTCTTCTCACTAAGATGGGTTACGTGGTCAGTACAAAATGCTGTTATTGTTCTAAAGAAATGGAAGATGTCATACATATATTCTGGGAATGCAACAAAGTGAGTTCCATCTGGAGAGAACTGGAAAGTTGGATATTGCACAAAATGCAATGCCCGGTAATAAAATCCAAAGAAAACGTTCTTTTGGGGCTATCTATAAAAAATAACAATCCCTTAAACCTTGTAATTATCCTGACAAAACAAATCATTTTCAACTTTAGAAAGAACAATTTTATAAGTTAACAAAGTATACCTCTGTCATTAATTGTAATAGAGACTACTTCAATAAGATTTGGTCAAATTGCCATGCTTTATTCTCCTAAATACACTGTCATGCAAACCTGTGTAAATGCCTATAATAGATAAAAAAATCATTTTAAAAAAAAATTTAAATAATTATTTTTTAAGAACATTTTCTGGGACAATCAAATTGTTTTAAACAAGAAGACAAAGTCATCAATATCCCCCGCAATGGCAAAATACTCTTCATGATTATGTCTACGGGTTATGATGATGTCAAATATTTAGGTGTGTATATAGAAAAGTGGAAGGAGAGTATTGAAAGGTTTATAAAGCTCTGCTCCAGAAAGGAGCACTATCACCAATTTCAGTCTATGTCAAACTTGTTGCCATTGAAATGCCAAAAATATTTTATTCAGTAATCCAAAACTACCAAAAGGCACCAGTACACCACCAGATCTATCTATGTGCCAAGTTTGGTGAAGAAATAGTGAACGGTTTTAGAGTTCTGCTCCGGAAAGTGCACTACCACTAATTTCAGGCTAAGTCAAACTTGTTGACACGGAAAAGCCAAAAATATTTTATTCAGAATTCCAACACTACCAAAAGGTACCAGTATACCACCAAATCTATCTATGTGCCAAGTTTGGTAAAGAAATAGTGAACGGTTTTAGAGTTCTGCTCCGGAAAAGACAAATGTGCACGGATGGATGGACGGACGGACGGACGGACCCACGCACGGACGGAGTCCATTTTAATACCCCCCGCAAAACGTGTTGCGGGGGATAAAAAAACAAACAGACGCCATGCTGTCCCCTGTTTAACACAAAAGGAACTGCAATCATATTCCAAAAAGAATATTTTTGTAAGGAATGGTCATTTATTATAGGGGTATTGGCACTGGTTGGAACTGTACCACATTTTGCTGACAAGTAAAATTGCTGATAAATTATAGCATCTATTTTAAAAAATAGTTTGACATCAAGTGGTGCCTACGTTTCGCTTGATTCTTCTTCATCTTCACTGGAAGGTTCTCTTGCAAGACGTAAAAAAGACGGTCATAATTCAGTCACAGAACAATTAATGTAATTCACTAAGCGTCTAACTGCATCTAGAAACTGCAACACAGTTTTTCGTCCAGCTGCAAGGTGTAGCTTTAGTCTCTCAATTCGGGCATCACTTTCCCTGTCAATACATGCACAGCGTTTCACAGCACCACCAAGACCTGTCTGCCGTCTAGACCATTTATCTGCTGTCTCAATCTTCTTGATTTCTTTTATGAACTGGTAAATGTTTGGATGTGGGATGTTTGGATGTGACCAGGGCCCCGTTCCTCAAAGCGATTGTAGCTTCAATCAGTTGTAAGACCTACAATAAACTTTCCAACTATCGTAAATAACAATCTATTGTCGTTCCTCCAAGCTATTGTAAGGGAATTGTAAGTATCGCGATTATAAATCTCAAGATCGTAAATTACAATCGTGATCTTCTGCGTTAACATTACTTCTGGTTGGTGAGAGTTGCTTCCCCTTTCAAGCAGATGAACAATAACAACCCTTAGCAAGATATCGCAAAGTAATTTTAAAAAACCTTGCTTTCTACGGATAGTGCATGTAAACGCTGGGTGTCCGAGGACAACCCAGGTTCTAGCATCCTTACCAGTTTCAGAATGGAGCCCTCGTCATTCTGTACCTTGAAAATATTTCAGCGTCATTGTAAACATCAAGAACACGACTATGGTCTCGAAATATCCTCTCAAGGCCAAATTTGTTTGTCTCCTTTGTTTATATATTACAACAAACGCCGCCGCCATCTTGTTCATACACAACAATCGATCATAAGTAAGTTTACAGACGGTCATAAGTAACTTACGGAATTGATTGTAACTTAGAATTGCTTTGAGGAATGGTGGAGTGATCGTAAGTTAAAGTTACAATTGAATTGTAGTGATTTACAACTATTGTAGTGTTACAATCGCTTTGAGGTACGGGGCCCAGGGCATGAAGCACTTGGTGACCGCCTCTCTGTGAAGTAACAAACTCAGCTCTCAGATTTGCCATTTTGACGCTGAGTGTGAAACTTGCAGAGGTTTAGATATATGACATTGCAAAAGAGAATAAGTTGAGAAGAGCAGGTCTTGCTAACACAGTAAAAACAGCTTAGGTGATCAAAGTAGGAGACAAGTAAGTCATGTTTATACTACAAAAACATGTGTATGGTTTATCAAAGTATCCTAATTAAGATGATGAGTAAGTCATGTCACACAGTACAAGATCTATTTGCACCCAGTTTGGTAATACCCATTATTATGATAGGGGTGGTAGAACTGGCCAATATAATTATTGTAGGCGATATGAGGGCAAGCCTAACATCCATGTCAAAAATAACATTATGACATGTTACATGATATCGGCTCCCGCTCATTAACTGGAAGAAATACAAGTGTGTTGCAAACTTTTTGTTCAATTTTAACCATGCAAGGTGACTTTTAAAATGATTTTACCCCTATGAAAAACATTTTTTTGCATGAGTTTTCTCCTTGAAGGGAATTGCTATTTTTCTTTTCACCAATTTTGAATCAACCGAGCAGACTGCAAGATGAGGAAATTTCTTGAAGTCATAAAAATCCAACATTTCAACCCCACCATGAATTGTGATCAAGGTTATTTTATCTCCTCAGCAGATCACCACCTAATTAAAGACAATCACCAGTAATCCACCCATACCTCACTTGTCCATATGACTTCCTTTTGTGTACTGTAATCACAACCAATCACTGTGTACATTAATCTACTCTCCTCAACTTACTAATTACTATCTCAATGCATATCAAACTCATCATTGTATAAACTTATCTCTAATCACAACCAATCACTCTGTACATCAACCTACTATGCTCAAATCACAAATTAGCTATCCAATGTACATCAACCTTGTCAACTGTATATACTCACTATACAGCTATGTATATATTCTCCTTGTTACAACTCTTTGTATCACTTGCTTGATAACGGTGTTAGTACCTACACCGAAACATCGCACTCATTGCAATAAAGAAGTTGACTGTCCATAGAACTTGGTTTTCCTTCAACTGTACAACTTTTAAAATGCCACTCAAAGAAACCCCTCCTTATTTTGACATCACCAGTCTGACGGTGTAGAGCAGCAAGCCGAGAGATAATGCTCTTTGACTTCCCGAAAAACCTGGGCCTAGATTTTCGAAGCTCTCTTAGTGCTAAGATAGTCGTAAATTAATGTTAATGAATGTCACTTACGACTATCTTAGCGCTAAGAGAGCTTCGAAAATCTAGGCCCCGGCTACTTGATTCTGGGTTACTCCAGACTGCAACATTCCTATGCAATGCCATTTTTGAGCTGGTGTTAAATGCTAATGTGGTGGCATTTTGTGTGTTGTGACATTCACCTGCGTATCATGCCTTAAGTAGCCCTTCCATACATGCAGTGCATATGCTCGATTTGAAAGCAGTTGAGACGTAAACTAATAATGTCATATCACGTCGGAAAATATCAGTGTTGTGGTTCCCTTATTTTTGAGGCCATGTATATATTCACTTAAAGAATTTTTAACAGCAGAAAATTTTTTACCATTCCCTGCGAAAATCTTTTTTTTAAAAATGTGATAGCAGTTCCTTTTGTATTAAACAGTTGACTGCTGGGGGGTGTGTGGGGGTGTGTTTCAAAACAAATTGATTGTCTCAGTAAGAAGTTGTATGATTTCACTCACAGCTACTGATGTCAAGTGGAAAGCTAAAACCAAGTGGGAATCACAATTTCTTTTACCAAGATCTCAACAGGTCTAAAACATTTCTCAGACCTTTAAAAATAATAAAGGACATTCAACTCAGATGGTTTCAATACAGGATTCTGCATAGGAGATTGACCACCAATACTTTTTTTGTATATAAAACCAATCTGAAGATGATCAGTGTACTTTTTTGTGGTTCTGAAATAGAAACTACTCAACCTATATTTGGGGAATGTGATATGGTCAGAGATTTTTTAAAGTAAATATATGTAAACCATCAGCATGTCAGAATGTGAATCTCTATGACTAGTTTATCTCATTAGTCTTAAAATAGAATATTTTCTTTGATAAGATTTGTTATTTTTATCTTACTTTCCAAATGTTCCATTTAGGAGATAAACATCATGTGTTGGCCAATGTGTTTGACGCCGCCAGTTCCAAATGAATTCCTGTGCTTCAAATACTCAATAACACCCGGAAATTGGCCAACACATGATGTTTATCGACATTGTAAACACAAAACATTAAACATTATAGAACACAGTGACTTTTGGTCTGATTGGTTGAAAAACGTGATCAAATGGTATTCGATTCCCAGAAATTCGCTGCGTATTGATACATACAAACATCGCTCACACCATTGTATCGTTACGTCGTCAGCTGCGATGACGTCATTCAAATCATATTGTGACGTAAAGTCCGAATGACGTCACAAATGAGCAGTTCCAGATGCTACCATGAGAGACAGATGAAACGGCCGGTTGATGACATTTCACTGCTGTACCCGTACACGATGTCAATGAGTGCAGACACAAAAACGTGTGTGGACCTTTTGGTTTACTTTTGTGTTTACAATGTCGATAAACATCATGTGTTGGCCAATTTCCGGGTGTTATTGAGTATTTGAAGCCCGAGAATATTCCATTTGAAAACTCCGGCTGAGACCGTCGGTTCCAAATGAATTCCCGTGCTTCAAATACTCAATAACACCCGGAAATTGGCCAACACATGATGTTTATCTCCTAATTCCAAATGTTCCATTTATAATGTAAGCTACAAGATGAAGCTTTAAGCTCTGAACCCTTGAAAAGAAAGCTTCACATAAAACAAAATAGAACAACATTCTCACAAGGTATATAAATACATCAGCAGATTTCATGAGAAAATGGATGAAGTATCATTCACATTTTGATTTGTGTTCTGTTTGTTGTCCAACGCCGCACTCCGCAATATTCCAGCTATACAGCGATGGTCTGTAAATAATCGTGTCTGGACCAGAAAATCCAGTGAGATAAGCATTGATTTACACATTTGGGATATGATGACATGTGTCAACCAAGTCTGCGATCCTGACTGCCCAATCCAGAGGTGTGTTCAGAACCATGAGTGCCCGCGAACACTAGCGAGCGCTCGATCCTGAACGCCTGTGCCTGTTCGAACGCCCGCACGCACGCGAACCATCCTCACAGCTGCCTCTCCAAGCGAACCAAGATGTATAATGTCATTTTTCACCACTCGCCCCTTTCCGTAACCTCCAACAAGAAGACAAGAAGCTATTCCGCTTGTCCCGGAATAACACGAGTTGGTCACGAATGGTTTAATGTAACCAAGCGCTCGCGTCAGTTCAGGGCCGATGCGAGTGCTCATGGGAGGCAATAACGCGGGCTCTCGGGATTCTGAACACGCCTCTGTTAGTAGCCTTTTATGACAAGCATGGGTTGCTGAAGACCAATTCCCAGATCCTTGCTAGTTTCACTTTTTGACTAACTTATTGTAAATTTAAACCTTCTATTTCTATAACCTAAATTGCTCAGATGAGGGTATTAGTAATTACTTGACTTACTGTTGTTTGATTGTGTGCAAATGAGGGTGAGGTTGTGTTTAGTTTAATACAAAAACACTTAAACCTTTCTCCTTTTATTAAAGTTAAACATAAGTGAGGGTCCATTCTTTGTAACAGGGTTTCAGCAATAAAATATCAATCAAAAATATTTGTTATTTAAGAAATACACTTCGCTCTACCACCATGTATAGTGTAATAAAACACTCTTTTGCCCTGCTTTAACGTTATAATAGTTCAGGGCGAAAGTGTGTTTTATTACACTATACATGGAGGTAGGGTGAAGTGTATTTCTTTTCTAAAATGCCAAATTTAATACTTTCTAATGATAATTACGATTAATTTAAGGCAGAAAACAAACGACGTTGTCGGTGACCTAAATTAAGAATCCTCGCACAGGGCTAACTGGCTGGCTGTTCTATTGATGTGTCTGCCCCGTACGTTAAGACGAACGTTACCAGAAAAAAAAAATGATAACAGTTTGATGACGGTTTACGTTCGGATTAAATATCTTCTCTGAATTATTTTAATTACATCTGTCATTGCGTGAAACCATATGGGGCAATATGAGCGTTGCATTTCTACTACCAGCGTAAGTTTAGATCAGTACATCCAGAGGAAGTTGAGTAGTCAGCGACATTCCACAATTGCATTGTGGGAATGTAAACATTACTTAAGCGTTACCGTGTCGCTGAAAACTTGTGAGTCGAAATGACACATTTTAACCGTCGTAAAACATAAACGTAATGTTTCCACCAGTGATGTTAGCTGCGTGAAGCAACAGCAAACCAAGAAACTGGATGCAACGGTGTAGTTTACTGTAGGAGGCCGTACGAGGCGATGACAACTGACATGCATCGTGAAGTCGCTTACATTGTGACGTAATGTAAAATGGTTCGATTACGAGGGGGCACACTAGAATAGCGCAGTGACGGGAAAACGTCATTCAATTGTTACGTCATCAAAAAACTATACCTTTGTTGTCTGATAATGTAATTTTTTTCCGATTGTTCTAACTGCTAGGCATCTTAGAAAAGAATATGCATCTGAAGTTGCTGGTACCCTGGTACTTTCAGGAGATATTTATGACTGACACAACATAAGCTCACTTGGCTTTCAGTCAGGTGACCTCAAAATGTGTGAGAAGAGAAACTTGATTTGTACTAGATTAAACACGCTATCTTCAGGTTATGACATCTGAAGAAGATGTACTTGATATGATATTCTAGTGATTTCACTGGTGGGCAGCTTCTGGCAAGTTCTGACAAAACCTTAATGCATGAAACTTTGGGCTGCTTAATTACTTTAGAAATGAACTGATTCTTACCACTACTGGGCTTTCCTATTGCATGATCAACAACATCTTCAAATTTTGCTTTTTTACATGTTGAAGATTCGGTGTCCGGCGAATGTTTGGTTGATATTCCTTCCATCTCTATTGCAGAATCCTGAAGATCTGGACTCTGTTCAGATATCTGGTAGAAGTGGAGTTTCCCTGTGTCTGTACACACACACAGACGTTCAATCCCTGAAAGCAAAATCAACAAATAAATAGGCTCTGTTAAACACTTGGCATGTCTGACTTGGCAGTCGAGACATACACAGTCGAAACATACAAGCCATACCAGTAACCCCTTCAAACATTTTGTGGAGACCAATAAAATATTATCTTTTTCTCTCATTATTATCACTGGAAAACATAGGTCTCTATTTCACATCTCATCAAGTGGTTTTCACTTCAATATCTATAAGCTGTACAACTAATAAACATCTCTAATTTCATTCCTGATTCATAGTTTGATGCAACAGTGAAGTCAATGTTTCACATCTTCTGGCAAGATGGAACTGAATCTCATGCGATTTCAGATTCCTTGAACCTGAACACTTTTAGAAATAGGTTCTTGATGATACATTACAATTTTCATAAAATGTTTCCATACAAATGCCACTTTAACTGTAAGGACTCTTCACATGCTGTTATGAATACCTGCACCAACACGATTTTCAGCAAAATGCAAAATCTCAATACAGAACCCCAGGACAGGAAGTTTCAACAAGTCTTATTTACCTGTACAGTAAGCAATGGAAATGAATTTTTCCTCCTCGAGGGGTTTCATTTCTGCAAGCAACTGCATGTCTGCAAGGTTGACAAGCCAGACACTACCACACAATAGAGTGAGTGCCACTTGACCAGGTACACTGCATGGTTTAATACGGCTTGCCATAACACTGTCCAGTGTTGAGTCTTGTTCACGTGGTCCACAATCTTCCTCTTCCACTTGGTCAGCCACTTCTTGAGGCAACATTAGCAAACTACAGACAGCATTTTCTTTCTTCTCAATGACATGGACAATAGATGGTGTTTCTTCCACCAGGGTATTGCTACCATCAGTTTTGAGTTTATACACTATGAGCCCACCACCAGCATGTTCTGTGTCCCCATTCACACTACCTCCAGCAACCCCATTTGAAGTGTTGCTATTTGATTCTGCTTTGTTTAATGCAAAGTCCTTCTTAGGAGACACTACAACTACTACATACTGTTTGTCATTTGATGGTGTTATTGATGCAATTTCATACTCTTCTCTCTGGAACTGTTTTGGTAAGTCTAAACACTGGATAACTGCGCCAGCTCTCAAAGGCAACTGTGTTTTGACTTCTCTTTTTTCACAATCATCAAACATTTTCACTGTTTGCAATACTGGCATGTCAACTCCCAAAGAACTGCTACTGCTATCATTGTTGTTCTTGCCAGTACTTTCTGGAATGCTATCTTTAAGTTGTGAGGTTTGCATTGGACTTGGAGTAAAACCTACAATCTGAACATCTGGATCTGCCCAAGGATCATTTTCCAAAAACATAGACCAGTCCGGATGCATAGATGATAGTCCTAGTGGGGTTATAACACCATTCTCACCCCCAGTTGGAGGTTTTGCTATTGATTCAGAATCAAACTGTTGTCTCATATGACTCGTATTGATACTAGTTTGCACTGAAACCATCAGTAGGTATGGCAGTAGCTTTGTCTCTGGTAGAATAAAGTCATCTCCCTCCTCTGTGTCAGAAATTATCCGAGGAGGAGAGTCACCACTAACCACTTGGTTTACTTTATTCATCAACTGTACAGTTTCACTTTTTGCTTCACCAATTGATGACTGCAGCTGATTGTCTTCTATATGTGTACATCTGGTCTGGCGAAGTGATGCTCCACAAAGTAGACTAGGTTGAGAAGAACTATATCCTTTAGCAATATCGGTTTTATCTGAATTTCCTAAAAGATCTTTCCCACAACTGTCTTTAAGCTTCTTTAACAAGCACAGAGCTGTCACAAACACATCCTCTGATGGTCTGGTCCTCTCAGTGGGGACTGCAGGCTCATCTGTTGGCAAACATAAAACAAAGCTGTTCACCAATCTGAACACCATCATGATCATGATTGTAATCAATTACTTAAATGTATAATACATCCACATGGCTTAGTAGAACTCATGTTCATAACATTAGTATATTAAGTAAGCATTTCAGCAAACAGTGCCATGAAAGTTTACAATTGCAAACTTGGCACACAAATCAAAGATCAAGAAACCCACAGACATTGGCCATCTTTTGGGTTAAGAAAGGGATCTTTGACTTCAATGGAAGCTCCAATGAAAAACAGATCAGAGAGATTTAGTGAAACTCCATCCATATTGAGCTAATAATCTTTAACACATCCAAAGGAGGACGTTCTTGTCCAACTGATATGCCATGAAAACACCTCTTAATGTGGTTAATAGGGCTCACTGTATATAGTTATTACTAAAGCAACTTGGCATTTCCAATATCAAATCTTAAAAAGAATTTCATCAGATCTTTTACTACAGCTCTAAGGACAAAAGCTTATCCAATACATACCTGCAATTTCATCATGTAAGGGTATTTCTTGTATTTCATCTTCAGATGATGCCCCAAAACATTCAGAATTGTGCTGTGTCTTCTCCTCTTCTCCTTCACCTTGCTTTGCCCTTGAACACCATCCATCACATTATTACAAGGAAGTAGGAAAGTCAAGGCAAAGCCCACTTTCATAAAACAAGTAGACAACAAAGGGTAATTACATAGCAATCAGCAGAATGTAGAGTTTAATCTAAATACAGAAATTAGCATTCAGTTGTACAGCTGACTCAGGACAGAAACAAATCTTTGACACTTTTAACATATACATGCCAGCAAATTGTCATATTCTATAGATATGATACATGGTTGCATTTGACAGTATGATCAAGCTTACTCTCGTGATCTTGAGACACCAGTGTTTCTGTATGTTTCTCCAACTTTATCAGTTTGAAATCCTGTTTTCAAAGCCACTTGTGTTTCTGAAGGATCTAGGTTGAACTGACAATATTTCTGAAGAAAAGAGGAATATATACTAGGCACATAAAGAAACTGTGCATACAAAAATTTAAAATCTAAATTTATCAAACCTGTGTAGACACATAAGGATTTAAACTCAGAGATTAATGGCAGGTATCCAACATGCATACACGTGCCACGTTCCGTGACGTCAGTGGGTTCGTCCTTGAGACGTGCAATACGTTGTTGCACGTGTAGTCCGGGAAAGAGAAACAGAGCAAATAAATGCCACACAATACTGTCACTTTGGAAAGCTCAACCCCTGCCCTTGCGATCGTTCAAAAAATTAAACGGCTATTGAAACGCATAGCATGCCAAGGCTCACGTCTGCACAACGTCATGAGGCCATTGGGATAGTCCGTTGGGGAATGTCTCAACGACAAGTGGCTGCACATTTCCACTGCCACCGGAACACCATTTCTGCACTGGTGAGATGCTACCAGCACACAAATGACGTCATCGATCGGCAACGTTCTGGACGTCCAAATGTGTAACAACGCCAAGACAGGACAGATGGATAAGGGTGACCCATCTTCGCCACAGGTTTCAGACTGCAGTGATGACTGCCCGAACCATCCCAGGACTTTGCCGTATCCACCCCAACACAGTTCGACAACGTTTACGTCATCAAGGGATCAGACAGCGGCGTCCGCCGCCATACGGCCTATCCTGACACAACGTCATCGACAAGCTCGCCGAATGTGGTGCCGAAATCATGTCCACAGACCCTTGTTTTGGTGGAGAAATGTTGTTTTTACAGATGAGTCCAGGTTTAACATTTCCCATAGTGATGGATGTCAACGTGCCTATAGATGCGTGGGAGAACGTTATGCACAGGCCTGTGTCTTGGAGAGGAATCGCTTTGGTGGTGGTTCCGTGATGATTTGGGGTGGAATAACAGCACGCCAAAGAACTCCTTTGGTGATTGTTCAGGGCAACTTAACTGGTGTGGGCTACAGGGATCAGATACTTCGACCTGTGGCAATTCCTTTTCTGCAACGTCATGGCCCTGGGTTAACATTCCAACAGGACAATGCCCGCCCTCATACGACAAGGGTTGCTATGGATTTCTTGCAACACCACAATATTGACTCACTGCCTTGGCCTGTAAATTCACCGGGTCTCTCCCCGATAGAGCATGTCTGGGACAAGATGGATCAACGTCTACGCCGTCTTCCTCATCCACCAGATAACGTCCTTGACCTTGCAACAGAACTTGAGAGAATCTGGCGTGACATCCCACAAGCCTTCCTTGCACGTTTGATAGGCTCTATGCGTCGTCGATGCACTGCTGTTCTCAATCCCGATGGTGGACATACCCGTTATTGAGCTTGTGACATGGTCGTTTGACCCCTGTCCTGCTTGTGGACTCGTCACGTCATTGTGATTGACTTTTCAATTGAAATTCTCCCGACTTGTTATGGTCTCATGATCCCTCCATTAAAGTTTATATGTACCTTTGACATTGTTATCGTACTTATCAACTGGGATAATATTTTGACAATCCACAGTTTCTTTATGTGGCTAGTATATTTCATTTGGACAAATTTGACATATACCAAGGGCACACTTGTTTAACAAATAACAAATGCAAGGTTTACAGAGTGACTGAAGTTTGTGATGACCTATTCTCATAATATAACAGACTTCAGTGAGACTGCCTGGAGGAGTAGACTCTTTGGCACCATCCGTACATCGTACTGGCTGCAGGAACTGCCAGACCTCCTGAAGGAGCGATGGGGATACCATACCGCCTTGCTTCAGGATATAGGTCATCGCCGTCTGGTTGTCTATCTCGAGACGGACCAACTGACTCTGAACCTGCTCCATGAAGCGTTTGAACACCAACCTGACTGCTCTCAATTTTAGCACATTGATGTGCAGTCTGGCCTCGTTCTGCGACACAAGTCCTGAGACTGACAGCTTGCCCAGAACACCTCCCCTCCCATGAGCCTGCCACACATCATGTGTTGTAAATCTCGCCCCTAAGAAAAAAAACCAGTCGGACTAGGGTTTTCTAGCACCTCGCCCATAGAGTCTAGGCTCGCTGGTCAAATGCGTCCTTGTGTACTTCTATTAACTTGTTCAGCCTCTGATTGAGAATGGGTCTGAACCCTCTATCCATTATAGTTAAGAGGAAATAAGTGGAGTTGAACCCCACATTTTCCTGCCCTTTTGGAACCATCTCGATGTCCGCCTTGTCCAACAGATACTGAAACTCAGCACAGAGTTTTTCCACCTTCTCCTGTGAGTCCGGCACTGGTGTGTGCCGCACTCTGGAAACCGACAGTGGATCTTGCTTCCACTGTGGCAAAAGGCTATCGCTGAGCGTTTGACAGAACCCAGGACTTCGACATGGCTTACTCCCATTCCTAGAGGAAGAGGAAGAGCAGGCCGCCAACAGGGATTTGCAGCAAAACCCCTGCAGCCAGCAACATGTCGTTTGCCGGTGCCAGGGCACCAAGGGCGCCCATAGGCAAAAAAACAGGCTCATCATTTGGCCGGCACAGCTACAAATGCTGTCCCTTGCCAGATTAGAGTGGACCTCCGTCAGCTGCTGCACCAGTGTCACCGATGAGAGATCACTGGCGCTCTTTCCCCAGTCCACCAGCTCCCTCTGCAGAACAAAGAGATACGCCGAGTGGACCATTCAGCGTTGAGCTGTTACGTGGGAATGGCAGCAGACTGATGGTAGAATGCGAGGCTGTGTCCTGGACGCCTTGCTAAAAGCAAAGGTTTGCCCCGGAAGGCGGAACTCCGACAGGTCAGGCCATCCTGGTGGACAGTAACGTGAGGCAACACATTTGCTACATCAGACCTTAGCTTATAATGTTGAGTATATACTCCAGACATGAGAAATGCCAAATGGGAATATATGTCAGGTAATCTGAGTGGTGTTACCACTAATTATACCTGTTATAAATTCATTAACTGACCAGCAAGTGAATGATGACAAATAAACAGGTGTAGGTTTAATACCACCAAACATGGGTTTCAGCAAGGGAGTAGTAATCGTTGTATTGTATCAATTTTAATTGCCTAAAAAACCTTAGTCGTCTACCCTGTTTTGAGAATACGAACAGAGCTTCATTGTTGCACAAGAAATACTTACACGCATTTGCTGTGTACCAAAGTTAAAAAATATATATACCTATTTACCTAAGTGTTTACTGATTCAAACAAATCAAATGGGTTTTTTAAATATCATAGGTCAATAGACATCACATTGTCACATGACATGATTACATACTGAGCTAAAAAACTCAGAAACTGGATCAAATTGATCAAATTGGATCAACCTACACTGCTGGGATACTTTATTACAATCAGACAAGAACTACTACTTGCAAGATATTTTCATGCAATGGCATCTGATAAGCATCCACCGTTCTTATTGTCTCATTGATCAGGTTGAAGAAATTCTGCTAAGGTAGGACAGCCGCATAGTCCCTGTGTCCGTCATGGTCGAGGGAGTGGAGAGTGCCCACCTAGCAGCTAGACCTCGTAATTAGATTGTTGGTGTGAAACATTAATCACTCTGGCTTAGTGCACCTTTAAGTATTGATTTCAATATCTATTTCATTGAAGGATGCATATACATAAAAAGTGGTTTGCATACTTAGAGGTTGGATTTAGCGCTAAATAAATTTTCAGTATTATTATTATACTGAAAACAGTCATCCAAACTGTGTATATTGTTTAGAATGACATAGACACAAAAATATATTGCAGACAATTTCTATTATTAATGTCAACAATATGCCTTTCACATACTGCTTTTGCAATCATTCACACAGAAAAATATAGAAAAAGACTACAAAATCAGTGACATCAATCAAAGCAATGTCTGCTCCCCCCTCAACAGACATTAATCATAAGATACTTATTTTAATTGTGCCAAATTTGCCATTTGACTTAACAATTCTGCACCATAAGAAGACTGCTGCTTACTTGAAGCACTCGGCTTATGCTCCACACACATATATTTCCATGCTTTGTCGAGGTTACAAAGAAGTCTTCATCTGATGTTGTGCCGACACAATGAATCTGCAAAATATAGAAATCAAAGTTACAATTGAAACCAAAAATCATTCTTGATTTGTGATCCACTTGATGCACATACTGTGATTTTGAACTCAGACATTGACCAATTTGACACTATGCAACACATCTCCAAGTTCTCAATGCTTTAAAGGTCACATGCAACGTAAAACACAACTTTGCAGATTCTGATACCTTTCAGTATGGACTTATGGACAAATCATCAAAAAATGCAAATTCAACTTATAAAGTTGAAAGATAACGCGATGAAAAAAAACGCGCGAAATCAGAGTTCAAACGACTCACTAATTTTCCCCCAGCGCTTGGGGGAAAAGTGGTTTCAACAGCTGGGCTGCGCTCATAGCGGTACCCTCATAGCACATGCAGTGAAATATGTTCGCGCAGCTTGGAAGCAGGTTGTCCGGTGAATACTCGGTGAAGGTTATGACAGTAGATGACCGATTTAACTGTTTATATAATTTAATTTGTCTATTTCACCACACATTCTTCTTACCGAGTCACTTTCTCAGTTTGATACTTAAAAGCAATGTCATTATTTAGCGTTGACAGAATTTCTTACTGTGATATAGATATGTCGTTGTCACAGACAAAACTCAATGTCTGTTTTATTGACACCTATGTGTCTGCCTGCCTGTCTGCTAATGACAATATTCAATACACAACTTGAATCACTGACCACATGCAATTTGAACTTAACACCAATCAGGCTATACACCATAAACAAAACGCATTGATTTATGGCCCGAGTTCGGTCTCTGTCACATTATGTAATTACACAGACAGGCAGGTGTGATACTTGTACACATGACAAGTTATGATGTCTGTTGATCGCAAAATGTTATACACAAAAATGAGCATGTATTTACAAAACCCAACATCTCTATATATACACACACAATGAGCCGTGAGGGCATCTGCAAATGAACCAGCCGTTACACTTGAGTGCAGACCCACCCGCTCTGACTGGGTTCGGTATCCCAGCTGCTTCGTTTCTTGGGAAGTAAACCCAAATACAAAATATTGCACTTCTGATTTGCGATTGTACGCTTATAATTTTGTTTATATGTTTTTTCATAATCAGCAATGTATATTATATTTCATGAATAACTGATAATTGTGTTTTAATTATGTTTAATTTTTTGGTTGCATGTGACCTTTAAGGTAATATGCTGGTGTTAATGTGCTGTATTAAAGGGATTCACTTTCCTATTTTTCTTGGAAAATGTAACACTAATTAGCACAAGAATGATTTAGTGGAGTTGCCACCGTCTCCTCATCAACAGCCTGATTGAGTCAGAAGAGATTTTTAAGTGTTTTATCAGAATGGGGTTAATTTTCTTCATTTATTCTCAGCATTATACATTTGATTTAAGTATTATACATGAGAAACCACGCCCTTCTCAATCAAAATCATGATTGTCGATGATTTTTGAGATAATGCCTGCTCACTGTTAAGGAAATGATATGTAGATGTTGCAATAAGTTTTTAGACCCGCGGAATACCGCTGCCGATCGGCTCTATTCCTACATAGGTGGTGTCAACATGGCTGGAATTAATAAATGAATTTAAAAGGTGTTTTCGCTGTCTTGGCTGATCCATTATTTTGGCTTGGAATTGCGGAGGTAGCTGTTTTTCGGTGAATCATGTCGTATAACTTTTGAAATGATCCAATTGTGACCATTTATAGCTCAATTTGTACTGAAATTATCTAGCTTTCAATCCGTAGGCCTTGGTGGGGTTGGGGCCTTACAAGTATTTACGTGGTGAAATCTATTTTTGATTGAGGAGGGGGTGGTTTCATTGTTATATTCCTTTCCTTTTATATAGTAATAGGGTAGGGTCTATACACCTATGTCTTTCTAACGCTATTTCTAAGCAAGACACGTCCTATGTTTCAGAAATCATCTATCCAATTAGAAGTTGTGCAAGTACTGGAACTGATCTAATGTGATAGTGCAAGATGGAATAATATCACTTCTTTCCAACTTGATGCAGATTTCTTGGGTAGGTGGGAAAGACAACTCCCAATGTACAAGAAGCAGTATCTGTGGAAAAGTACGCAATTTGCATCAATTAATTTGTTGCTATTATAAACATACAATTTTATGTAGCAATGGGAGATAAGGCATCTAATCAACAACATATCATCAAATAACCTCGGATAAAGATGCAAATGATATTTGATTAATGTGGTTGTTTGGTTCTATGAATTATGCATACAATTTCATGACATTTGAGAGTTGATCACTGATGAAAATAGGGTGTCTTTGTTTACACTCTGCCATGTCTCAGAAACAGCTTTAAATAATGTTTTCCTTCGCTAAAAATAATAACGAGCATTGTTCTCATGACGTGTACTTTGCTATTAATAGCATTGATGAAAATGCAAAGAAACTAGTCTAACCACCAGTTCCTGGTGTTTTGTAGAGTAAATATATGGCATGTACACTATGTACTTCAGCCTACTTAATATCAACACATTTGACAGTGTAGCTATCAGCCTACTTAATAATAGCAGATTTCACTGTGTAGCTTTCAGCCTACTTAATACTGACAGATTTGACAGTGTAGCTTTCAGCCTACTTAATACTGACAGATTTGACAATGTAGCCTTCAGCCTACTTAATGCTGACAGATTTAACAGTGTAGCTTTCAGCTTACTTAACCTTTAGCCTGCTGAATTAATTTCAGCATAAGGCGTTGTAAAGAGGGTGGGTGATTTCAAACAGTCGGTGTGTCATTAAATAAGGGACAACTAAAAAAATATTTAGCACATTTCATGTCATGAAAATTGCAGAATAAAATATATGCTTTATGAATATTCACAAGTCCTAACTTCAAGTGTTATGGTTCATTATTTTCGACACAAGCCCACAGAAAACCAGTTTTGCATCGTGTTACACGTTCATAAAACAAACAATGAAACAGGGCACGCTTTGTCCAACCCCAACATAACATATTGCTATTCTGATAAGAACAATGTTTACAGGACTTACATGTATAAGCCCTGACGAAAGTTGAAGAATTTCTCATTCTACAAGTGTTTCATTTATCATTTTCAGTTTAATTTGACAAGAGAGAAAAGAAAATTAAGATTGCGAAATCTAACTTGTTTTCTGGTAAGTGCAAAGGTCACTGGATGTGATGTCACAGACAGAGGTTGTCTGGTAAAAATATTTCGCCTTTGAATACTAACACTAAATATGGAAATATTCCGTCTGGCAAACCCAAATTTAAGTCGAACCTCTATTTAGAATGATTAATCTTTGCTAAGGAAAACAAGCATTATCACTAAGATGACATAATCACCCGCCGCAAATTATCAAATCAAACTTAAAAAGTAATGAAAGTGAAGGTCGTAATTTAAGATGAAGTTAAATGTAAACAAAAACATGACCTGTCAACCTCTCTTGATATCTTGCTCTGAAAGATGCTGAAATCTTCAAAGTGTCGCCGTGACCTTGAAAATTATGTGAAGGTCACCAAAATCGACTGGAACTTGCACGCTTGGTGTCAAATATGAAGAAAGTCCAGTGAATGGTTCTTGAGATATCTCACTCACAATCTGTACATGCAGGTTAACATACTGAAATCTTCAGAGTGTCTCCATGACCTTGAAAATTAGGTGAAGGTCACAAAAATCGACTGGGCGCTGCGCCTTCCCTAGACAAAACTCGATGTTGAATATGAAGAAAATCCAGAGAATAGTTCTTGAGATATCTCGCTGACAAGGGTAAAACATTAAAGTCCCCTTGTGACCTTGAAATGAAGGTCAAGGTCACCAAACCTGACTGGGACCTTTTTTTTACTGTGATGAACCTAGGTACCAAATATGAAAAGAATCCAGTCAACGGTTCTTCAGATATTCCAATACGTACATACGTACGTACGGACGGAGCCTAATACTATATCCCCCGCTTCACGCTAGACGCACGGCGGGGGATAAAAACATGTTGTTTTTTACTATATAACTGGCATATCATGGAATCAGTTTGACCTTGTATGCTCCAGTGACCCAGAAACAGTAGTGGATCAACACTCCACATGCAAGTTTCTCAGTATCTTTTATTTGAACATTTGTTGATATTAGGACCACCACTTTATTCTACACTGAATATGCAGATAAGACACATATAATTGTGAGGCATGTTGATGCTAGTTTGTTTGTTTTTTTAACTTTGCTCGAAGCAACAACGTGTACAAACATCGGCCTCAAAAACAGGTGCGCGTATTATATCATATACTAAGATATAGTATCAATTATACCCTTGTGTCATGTAAGTTCGATCACTTAAGAACTGTCGTTGAATTTTCGAAGTTATATTCATATAATCTTATTTTCAAATCTCTTACCTCCAAACTTGTTTATTTATGTCAAACATTTAAAAAATCCAGGTATTTTTACTGCTTTTCACAATCGCGGCGTGGCTGCCCTCTCACTGTCAACACAAGTGACCCAGAAAACTACGTCACACAAGTTCGATCATATGATTGGCTGGCTTGTCGCGTAAACAGAATGACTTGTAAGGACGATCTCTTGTGTCAAATTCAGAGTTAGAGCAGTCCCAAGTAATTTTAAGGTATTTATGTCCATGAAACGTTCATTTTATGTTTCAATACTTCTAAAAACGATGAAAAGTCACAAATATTCAGCTTATATACAAGTATTATGCAGGGAATTATTCTTCAGGCTCATCGTGACGGGCACCAAACCTCTGATTGTCGACAAACACCACGAACTGGCTAGCAGAAACGTAAATGTGTTCTGTGCTGACATGTAGGGTGGGTACATTGATGTGTCCAGGTTGTATTTATCAATGAGGCAATAGCTCAAACCTCATCAGGTACAAATTGACGGAAATTCTCAAAAAGCATTAAGTTTTCTATAAGAAATGAAATTAGGGATGATTTAATAAATTGTGTGTTCATATTATGTGCATGCCAAATTTATAGTCTCACTTCAGAACAATTTAAATTACATATA